GGAGAAAATCACACTACAATCACTGCATTTTATGGATACAATGCATATAGAGTAGTTCTTTCTGCTGCTTTAGTCATATGTGACTGTGTTGCAATTTTCCAATTTGTTGAAAATTGTGGTAATAATGGGCTGCAGATATTCTGCGTGCTTCCATTATTTTACCTCAAATGGCAACTGGAGCATTTAGTGTAAGTAGGATCACACGTATTTACCAGGAGCTATAGTAAGGGTGCAATTTTTTCTGTAAGTCAAGGAAATATTTACCCAGAAGTAGGAGGTGAACCAACAGTGAGAAATTAAACTTAGTGGAGGGGTGGTGCGTTAGAATGAACATAAATGATGCAAACTGTGTTTATGATCCTGACCAGCTTTCCCCCTGCAGGGCTGGGAGAAGGGGGATGTAATTCCACGCTGCTGAGTCAGAGCCCAGTCTGTGTCCACTGAAACCAGCAGGACTTTGGTCACCAGTTTCAGGAGGAGCAGGAGTGAGGCTTGAATCCCCTGTGTAACCATGTGTGTAACTGTTTTTTCAGTATCCCAAGTTCAAAAGGTAGAATTGCAAGCTGATGCTGAAATTCAGCAAAATCAAGCACAAGTGTAACTCCTGAGAATCTGAGGATGGGCACCCTTAGGCACACACCAGATTTTTCTCAGTGAAAGCCAAGTGTGCCACCATTTTTTTTCCCAACAGATATTTAACTATTTTTCCTGTAAGTGAAATTTGAAAGAATTTGCTCAGGATGGACCCCTGATTTTTTTCAGCTACCAAAAAAAATTGCAATGTTAGTTTCAAGCCTCTTCTGCTTTGTTTTTCTTATGAGCTAAAATTGCTACTGGACACCTCTGAAAGTAACTTATTGTTCTTTTTTGTCCTCTTTCAGGCAAACTGTGGCTGAGTATGATTAGGCTAATTTGCTTGAGTATCAGTTAAACTCTTTCAGTGGCATTGCAGTTAAAACAAGGTACTTGCTTAATAGTGACATTTCCAGTTACTGACTTTTTTATTCCACCTAATAAAACTATACATTTATTTCTTACTAGAAACAATTTCAGAATAAAATGGTTATTGCACTTAAACTGGTTTTAAAAATCAGAAAAACATAAAGCCTTGCTAAGTACCCTTTATATATGTTAACAAAAACGGTGTGTATAAAATATGAACGTGTTTTTGTAGAATGGTTCCTAAGTTTTCCCCAGTGATTCCTCTGCACAACAGCCTGAAAGTTGAGCTGTAGCCTTTTAAAATTCAGTGTGCTTTCTGAAGGAAGGTGGCAACCAGCTTAGCTGGGTCACAGCCATCTCACTTCCAGCTGGGATTCTGCTCTGTGCTATGATGATAAATTCTACACACTTTAAATCAAAACCTTGTTCAACATCTTTAAAGAAACCCTAACCTTTTTCCTAGTGTACTAGGAATTATAAAGAATCCATAAAATATTTTTGGTCTAAGTTTTTCTTCAGTTGCTTTGGTTTTGAGGGGTTTTTTAAAGTTTTGTTTTCCACTTTGAGAGTGTTCTGTGTGATTTTCTTTTTTTTACATTTGGTTCCTGTTGTTTAGTAAAGGAATTCAGGATCTCTAAAATTTAAATATGAGATGTTTATATAGCAGTTCTGGTTTTCTATTAGCTTTTATACAGTATCGTAAAAAGCCCTTGATAGAAGTGTTTATTTTGGAGGATATGGAATAAATATGCTTCCACTTATATAACTTTAATATATGTCTTAAAATTTAAATTATGGGGAAAAAATGTTAGTTGCTTGTTTATAAATAAAGGTCTTTTGAAGAATGTCTAGTTTGGCCACAGCCAAAATAAAAGGCAAATTTATTGATACAAAAGCCTCTTTTCATCATATTTTGTTTAATTTTATAGCTGTGTATTGAAGTGACAAAAAGTTCGAGGTCTTGTTAAATATAAAAAAGTGTTTTGCTTTTTTTTCTAAAATTTGTGACAGGAACGTGCAGATGTTTTAATATATAGATTAGAATCTATAATTCTGTCCTTTTTTTGCTATTTTTATAACCTATCAGGTAAATCTCAGAGAACTATCCTGCTTCAGTGGGAGTGGAAACTAGTGTTGCATTTCAGGGGAGCAGTGTTGAGCCATGAAATGTATTTTTGGTTCGGGACTTTTTTTTTTCCTTTCAGGCACTGTGTTGGCAAAGCCTCTAAGCCTATCTTAAGTCCATTAAGATCAGTCTTTTTCTTTTTTTTTTTTTTAATTGTTCTGTGCAAGTTCTTTGCTGAACTGGGACCATGACCAACCTTGAAAGTGAGCAATGGCAGCAAAACACAGGAGCCAGTAACAGAAATGTTTTGGGTTATTGGTAAGGCAGAGTGAAACACCCGTGGCAGGTGATGGAGGTGAAGAGCGTGAGCCCAGAGTTTGTCTGGGCTGTTTCAGAAATGAGATGTTGCATTATCTGTGACCCCAAACAGCTGTAAGAGGTTTGGCCTGTGTTTCCTCTTCAGGCAGGAACATCCAGGAGGGTTTTTTACCTGATGTTTTCTGTTTTCCCCCAAGTGGGACATGTGGGTTTGCTCCAAAGCTCTGCGTGGTTCTCTGTTGCTGTTCCAAGCTTCCAGTGTTAAAGAGTTCCTCCCATGGGATAAGGACAGACTATGCCTAATTTCTTGGCTCTAGCAGTGAGGGTGCAAATATCTGGCATGAGCTTGTAATCTGGCATGTGCCTATACTGTTGAAAAAAATTGTTTACATTTTCCTACCAGAAGATTTAGATAAAAATCAAAACAAGCTTAGGGGGTTGTTTTTTGTTGGAGTTTTTTTTGTCTGTTTGTTTTGGTTGGGGTTTTTTTTTAGTGTTGCTGTTATGGAATCAGTGTTAAAATATTTTTTTCTGTTGTTGCTGAACACAGCCTGATAGTATTTTTAATGTTATTGATTCTTGTTTATTTAAAATGACTTGTGAAAAACTGTACTGTAACTGCTCTACAAAAAGGGACACTGTCAAGAGAAAGGCTGGATACAGAAAATGAACCTACCTATATTAGAAATACTTTATATTAATAAATAATATTGAAGAATTTAAAACCAAATTGAGTCATAACACTTGAGCTGCTTGGGCATGAAAATCCTATTATGGGCAGCCTCAGTTTTTGTGAGGATGTCAAATCTGTGGGTTGAGCTGATTTTTCATGTTGCTTTTCCTCTCACTATTTCAGAGTAAAGGACTCAACCCTTTTTTTTTTGCTTTTCCAAAAAAAAGTCTGTCAGTAGTGCACATTACCTTTTAAAGACACAAGCTTCCCACTATTGCAGCAGCAACTTTAATTCAAAAAAGTACAGAAAACCAGAACAAACCCTCTTTTGCAGCATTAAGTGCAAAATACACATAAAGTACATATTTTAAGGCTTATTCTTGACAGTGTCTCTTTTTAAAAAGCAGGAAAATGGGATCACTTTAAGTGCTTGGGTACAGGGGAATAGTTTCCTACTAGAAATTGGAATTATCCAATATATTTTCTAGAGAGTTTTCCGGTTAGTTACACAAAATCACTTGTCATTTTAAAGGATTATAGAAGTAAGACAAGCAACTCTGGGTTTATAATCCTGTATACCTTATACATTCTATATCTGTTCAATACACCAGGATGGATTTTTACTTTTTTTAGGACTGAGACTTAATAGCTTAAGGCAACTTTTTCTTTAATGTAATGTAAATCCATTGCTGCTTTGTACAACTTTTTCTACTGTGTGTTTTCTTTACTTAGATCTTGACTAAGAAATGTTGACGTCCAATAAACTTACACTTTGTTTCTTTTTGAGTCACTGTACTTGTTTGTTTTAGTAAGTGCCTCACTGAACCTTTTACTGGAAAATACAGGAAAACCAACCACTCCAGGCAATCTCTTAAAAACTTGAGCACAGCCCAAATCCTGCTTCATGTGCAGTCAGTGATTTGTGGGAGGAAGTGTCTCCATCTCAAACTGGACTGAGGCAGATGTTTGAGAAGACCCAGCGATGTTTCTGGTCTTTCGCAGCGCTCTCATCCAAAGCAGTTTTGCTGCATAAATGTCCCTTCTCAACCCCCCCTGTGTGGGAATGTAGGATTCCCATAAAGCAGAGAATGAGCTTTTTATCTTTTGGGAATGGGGTTTGCTCAGTTCCTCTCTTCCCACTAGGTGTGACCAGTCTTTGAGAACACTTAGGTCAGTTTTCTCAACTTCTTGGACTCCACATTTGCTGTCTTTTGCCATTTTTGCCTTGTGCAATGTGGCTGCACCAACTGAGCAGTTTCACCCACATTTAACAGAGGAGACAAGGTCTCAAGAATTAATGTCCCACAAGTTTAATCCCACAATTCACGTCCCACCTGCCTGGATATTGAGGAATGGTGTCAGTGGGACACCACAAATCCAGTGGGAAGGATAAGATGTGCACAGAGGATGTGCTGAGCATTCACCTGCACTTTTTACCCCAGCACTTGTCACTGTGTGTGTGCACTGACCTCGGAGGGAGCAGGGCAATGGCTCAGGTGGAACACAGGGCAGAGCTGCAGGACCAGCTCTGCCAAACGTTTGGATCAGGGATGAAAAGGGCACTCTGAGCTCAGGAGGATTTGGGCCTCTCCTTGAAAATGGGGACAAAGAGCTCGTGGTCTGTCCTCTGTGGGGTATCGCTGCCCCTCACAGGTTAGGGCAGCTGTGGAAAAGGCAAAGAGAGGGTGGAGAGCTGCTCTCTGACCCATTCACAGTCTTAAATCCCCAAAGATACGGTTTTCTCTTTCTCCTTTCAGATCAGAACAGCTCCAGCTCTTCTGCATCCAATTAATATTGACACACAGTCCATCACTGTTTCAGCACAGACTGACCTCTGCTAGAATGGTTCACAGAAAATGCTCCAGGGAACAAAAAGCCTGTGTTTGACATAAAACTCAAGAAATAAATTGAAATTATTAAAGGTTGCTGATAATGCCATGAGCATTGCACCTGTTTTTGTGGCTGTTTTCATTCCAATTCCAGCTGTCCCCTTCTAAAAAGTTGGTGTGCAAAGCCAGCAATGTTTTATTTTTCATTCATAGGATATTTCCATCTATTCTTCAATATACAAACACAGGAGCATCCTTACTATTAGACCAACAGGGATAATATTTCTGTTTCCAGTCCTGAAATACTCTGGCAATAAAAATTTTCAAGGTGTTGGCTGCAATGAAGCAACATACACAATTTTTATTTCCCTTCCTTTTTGCATGTGTTGAAAGAGTACATTGAAAGTCAGTTTCTGCTGACAAAGAATTTGCTTTGAATTGCATCTGCAGTTTTGATAAACCCTTAACAATTCATTAATGTCTTGTCAATCTAGGATCTGGGATGGATTCAGCTCTTCAGTGTCGTGGTGCCCTGGTTGTAGTCAGCAGCTTGAGCTGATAGTTGAGGGCTTAGGCTCTCACCCAGCCAGTGAATCTCTCCAGTGATGTCCAGTGGTATTAAAAACCTGCTGGGATTACTGACATCCAGGGATGCTTCTGCTGGAAGGAGGAGACCATGCTGGGGTTTGCAGGCTCTGCAGGCAGATGGCTGAAGGAACAAGGGACAACAAGGCAGAAAAAGGTCAGAGAAAGTACGGTGACAACAGCAGGAGAGTGTAAGATAGAGAGGAGAGCACGCTGCAACCCTGCCAAAAAGAACAGCAAGAAAAAAAAACCAGCCTCTATTTTAAGGTGTCACTTATGATTAATATGGCTCTTCTTGGTTCCCACTTATTCCTTTCTTCCCTAATGAATGAGGTTTTCCTGGGGTGTAACACCTCTAACCCTTTTTGGCTGACAGAAACTGCATCTATCACTCTTGTCATCCATTAATTTATCCTATAAAGTCTGTGAACGAGTTTATGGGAAAAAAACCTACCTAAAAGATATTTAATAATATTTCCTCTACAGTCTTTCACCAGAGGAAGTTTTGGTGCTCTTGGAACAGTCTTTGAAGACTGCACATCCTGAGGGCTTCCCCAGGTGTGACAACTACAGCTGTGCAATATTTGCTGCTGCTGCTGCTTTACTCATCAATCATCTGAGCAGCCAAACGCCACAAGAAGAAAACTTTGCCTTGTTAGCTCACATTCAGGCTATTTGTTTCAGGAGAAATTTGACAGAGGTCTGGAAAGGCATGTAAATGCATCTTTTAAAAGCATGAGGAAAAAAACTGTAAAAATACCAAATTCTAAATCTGAAGGAGATTCACAGATACTAAAACGAGATTTGAAATTGGATATTTTTTACCAAGTATTTACTACAAGGCTTAAGAGAGGGAAAATCACATAGAATCTTTGTTTTATGGAGATGATCTTATAATCTATTCTGTGCCTCTAATGCTGTGTACAGGCATCAAGGAGGAGACAGAAACAAAAGACTGCACCATCACACTCAAAAGCATCACACTGAAGGTGAAGCCCTCCCTCCATATATGCACAGGTCCTTGGATTTTCTTATCTGTCCAGCTGAACTGGAGCATTTTCACTGTTCCTCTGGAGGAAGGCATTATTAGTAACATAGGAAGCCTGTTGGTTTCCTACAAAATTCCTTTTTGTGCTGCTGTCCTCAGTCTAAAACGTGAAAATGTCTTTTGCTACTTACCAAGTCCTTTCTGATGTCCCACATTCCCAAAGCCAGCTGGTCCGAGTGTCCTCAGGGGCACACGGGTGTTGGCACTGCCCAGGAGAAGCGCACACCCCTGGGAACTCCCAGCATCAGCACCTCTGGGGATCCTGGCGCTCTCTGGTGGAGAGAAAAGAACCGGATCCAGCAGTGAAAATAAAGGAGAAAAAACAAGCAAACAACAAAAAAAAGGCAGCTTGGCATGTTTTAGTTTCTAAAATCTCAGGGTATTTCACTGAAGTTTTGGTCAATATATTTTTGAAGAGTCATCATCATAGAAAAAATAATAGTCCCAAAAATTATTTTCCTTTTTTTTTTTTTTCCATGGCAGTGCTAGATACATTCCAAGCAAAATAGCTGTTGTTAGGCTTTGTCCCGTTTGCAAAATTGTGACCACTCAGGAATAGATTAAGTACCAGATATGGAACCCCAGAATGGTTTGGGTTGGAAGGGACCTCAAAGCCCACCCAGTGCCACTCCTGCCATGGCAGGGACACCTTCCACTGTCCCAGTGCTCCAAGCCCTGTCCAGCCTGTCCTTGGGCACTGCCAGGGATTCAGGGGCAGACCCAGCTGCTCTGGGCACCTGTGCCAGGGCCTCACCACCCTCGCAGGGAAGAATTTATCCCTAAAATCTAATCTAAACCTGCTGTCTTTCAGTTTGAAGCCGGATTTTGAGAAAAGCAAAAGTGTGATCCTACAGGGAAAAGCAAAATTGTTGTAATAATGACACTTATAAATTATGACATGTATAAAATTAGTGGGTGGTATACAGGTGGGCTACGGTTAATGCAAACATCATGGTGCCATTATTTATTTTCACATGTTGTGTTTCCTTGTGTTCTGGTTTTGAGTTAAACCATGACCCCATGAGAGGCTGCACTACTGGTGCATGAAGGGCTTCAAAAGCAAGTACAAGTATCCAGGGTGAACTAACTTGGGTCAATTCAAGTAGAATTGAAACATGGCTCTGCAGCTTTACTTTATATCTTAACACATAATTCAAAATTGTGATTGGTCAAAATAAAACATTGTGACCCATCTGCTCTGAAACTTTGCCAATTTGTCAACAATTACATTCATATAGTCGTTTTTTCAAGACAGTTTTAGGACCAGACCTGTATTTTAATAACAAAGCTAATATCTGATGTGATGAAACACTCAACTCCTGGCAGTGTGTCTCCTTAAGCAATTAAGAGATGTAGGCATTTGGGCAAAGAAGAACCATAAATGAATTGTAATTTTCCAGCTATGAGGTCATGGTGGACACATTACTTTTTCTTCTACGGAGATTGGTGTTTGGATAGATCAGATGTCTCCTGATTTTGCAAATGAACTGAAAATAACAGCAGTTAGGTGGAGGTCTAATGATGTCCTCACTTCTGACCTTTTTTATATGGAGCAAGACTGCTTCATTAGGAAGAGGACATTCTCTGGAAGACACAAGTTTGGAGAGTTATTCCAGATCAAGAGCCAGATGAGTCCCAGCCTCCTCATCCCCATGGCAGCTCCAGCTTAGGGAAGCCAGCTTGGTGGCACATCCCTGGTGCCAGGCTGCTGACCACCTTCCAAAGAGGCTTTTGGGTGTCCCACCTGGCCTTTGCTTCACATCTTTGCACACCCATCACCTCCTCCTCAGACAGCTGTCACAAAGACTCACAAGTGCTGACCCAGACAGGATTGGACGTGTCACACGTGTTGAGCCTCACCTAGAAAGGGCCTACAGAGAACAGATTGGAGAGTCCACATGAGGCAGGACAACATGGGGAACCAGTGCTTGGCTTTGTGCCTCTCCTGGCCCACAACTCCTGAGCAAACCTGCCACAGTCAGTAGGAAGAAGGACAGAGCTGTTATCTGTCTCTGGGAGAAAGGCTGAAAAGCTGCATGTGAAAGGGGAAGTGGTCCCCTCTTCCATGAGGGATCACATTTCAGGAATGAAGATTTCCAGGTCTACTTCTATCAGTGAGGAGTATGCAGTGGTTCCACCACAGGCTGAAGCTATAAAATCTCAATAATGACATGGTTATAGCCACCTCGCAGGTAAAGGTGGCATCACACACAGTCCTGGAATGCTGCAGAAAGCTCTGCTGGCCAAAATGTAGTTTTGACAAACTAAGTATATTTCACACTGTTACACTCTCCTGACAAAGCACTTGTTTCCAACCTCATGTTAGACTGCATGAATGGCCTCTTATGAACCTTCTCTTTCTTTCACGTGTAGAAAACAGACTCTGGAGCACAGAGGCAGACAATCAGTGGGCAAAGTTTGTATTGACTTTATCGCTTTGCAATGTATTTGTTTTTGTATTTATTTTAATTGCAGTGACTGAGCATACTTTTTTTTTTTTTTGCAAATTGTTGTGTTCACAGCTTTAAAAATTAAATTTATTAAATCACTATGATTAAATTAATTAACTATGAATAACTATAAGCTGTGATGATTATTTCTGTAACATGGGACTTGGGGTAATCTCAGATCCAACATTTTCCAGTGCTGGGAGCAGCCAGGGAGGCAGCACTAATCTGAAGGAATTTGAAGGTCTCTTCTGACCTTGATGAAGCCAGGACTTGGGGATTGACGTGGGCCAGATGCAGCACCTTGCTGGCTTTGTTGAACCTCATGAGGTTCTCGTGGTCCCACTTGTAAAGCTTGTCCAGGTCCCTGTCCCCAAGTTTGTCCCTTGTCCCCTCCTTCCATGGTGCCCCTGCCCTGCTCAGCTTCCCATCCCCTTCAAACGTGCTGAGGGTGAGCTGGATCCGCTGTTTGTGCCATGGGGGAAGCCATGCAAGAGCCCCGGGGCCAAGGCAGAGCCCTGAGGGACACGGCTCATCCCCAGCTCCTTGCCCAGCTGGTCAGACCAGGCCCTCAGTGAGCACTTGGTTGGGACAATGGGCATGTTAGAGACTGAGGCAGAAGAGCGGGACTCTGACGTGGATCGTGAGCCTTCCCAACTGGGAGATGTTAGGAGCTGCCAAGAGATCTCTGACTGGGAAGAATCTCTTGAGTGAGAGCTCTCCCAAGGAGATGTCAGTAGCTGTGGAGAACTCTCTGTCGCTGTTGAGGCAGGACAGGGATAATGAAGACTCCAAGTCAGAAGGCTAGAAGGACTGAACTCAAATCCTTTATTTCAAGTACATCACTCTTTTTATAGAGCACATCTTGCAGACCAATTTCATTGGTCTTAAAGTAAAATCATGTCACACCGTTGGAGCGCAGTGTCTGAATGACTCATGGTGGCAGAACATATCTATAAACAATATGAACAACAAGAGAGATAGTGAATTATTTACATTCCTTTCAAACTCTTTCCCAAGCCCAGCCTGGTAGAAAACTCTCCTTTTCTCTCTGACTGAACTGAGAATATCCATAACTCACCAACTGGGATGAGGAGAGCAGGAGCTGTCCCAGGGAGAAGCCCTTAGCTACCAAGAATTTTCCATGGGGAAGAATGCATGGAGCAAGGGCTGTCCCAAGGAGCAGTCGGAAGCTCCCCAGAACCATCTGGCTGGGAGGACTCTGCTGGCCAAGAGATGTCCCAAGGCAATGGCAGCAGACCCTCAGTGCAGTCCTGCTGAGACAATGATGGTGACAAAGAGCTTGCTCAGGACAATTGGGAACATGTGAGCGTCCACAGCAATGGGGTCAAGCCCATTGCTGGGCTTGGGACAAACTGAGCTTCTTTGAGCTGAGTGAAGAAGAAGACGGGGAGCAAAGACTGGGAGTTTTTGCAGAAGATGAATCCCAGTGCCTGTCCCTCAGAGGCCAGCACCAAAGCAGCACCTGTGGGGGACTGTTGGTGCCGGGTGGCTCAGGTGAATCCCAGAGAATCATCAAGGTGGGAAGAGACCTTGACGGTCGTGCAGTCCCACCAGCACCCCAGCATCGCCATCACAGCCCCAAAAACACGTCCCCAGGTGCCACATCTGGAAAACTCTTCAACACTTCCAGAGACGGCGACTCCACCACCTCCCTGGGCAAGGTCTTCCGATACCTGAGCACTGCGTCAGGGAAAACTTGTTCTAATATTTAATCTGACGCTCTCCTGGTGGAATGGAAGGCCATTTTCTATCATCCTGAAAGGATTATGTGCTGGTCCTTTGGGATTGTGCCCACAGGAGGTTTTTTCTCCAGGGATGTCACTGCAGGACTGCGACACAAATGATTCTTGCAAAACAGTGAAGGTTGAATTTAAGAAATAATACAAGAGTACAAGTACAACAGTAGTAAGAAAAAAAGACCACAACCTCTCCACTCACATTAAAAAAATATCAAAAAAACCCAAACCAAAACAAATTAATAAGATTAAGAATAAGAAGATGATACAGAACTAATAGTAGTAAATAAGAACAATAAAAGAAATAAGAATAATAAATTGAACAAGAATTATGAGAAGGAGAAACAGTAGTAGTAATAAGGAGAACAACAATAATAGTAAGAAAAAGAATAAAAACAAAATTAAATAGTAGTAGTAATAAATAAAAATAAGAAGATAAAGAAGATGAAACAGATGTAGAAATAAATAATAGTATCAAATTAAAATAAACATCCACACAACCACAGAATGAGAGGAAGGACCTTACAGTTCTCTAGTTCCAACTAGAGTTACCTTCTGAGAACCAGAGTTATCTATCCAACTAGTTATCTTCTGCTCTCTCTCTGAGACACCCTTCTTATTTTTCTCTACTGCTCTACCTCCCCTTTCTTGGTAAATAAATTCCACATTAAATAAAATCTGTATGTTGTCCTCATATGGTCTCCTTTGCACCGTCATTTGGGCAGAGGCCTCTCTCCCTCATGGGCTCGTTACACCTGCTCAGGGTCCCTTCCAGCCGCCAGCATTCCAGGATTCTGTCAGCTCATTTCCCTTTTCTTGCCTCTGCTTCAAGCTGGGAATGTGCCTGAAAATGTCCAGCAAAGAAGCCTTTGCTGTCTTCTCTGGGAGCCCACCCAGCTTCGGGACCTTGTCACCTGCAGCTGCAGCTCCCTGGAGAGGCAGAACCAGCACCTGAGAGCCTCGGGAATTCCCCACTGTGGTCCATGGCACACACTGCAATGGTCTGCAATTCCAGATTCCAGCAAGGAATAGATGTTCCTGCTTTTAAGGCAAAGCTCTGAAGGGGCTGAAAGCCAAGTGGAGCAAGATCTTACAATGACAGTGCATGACCAGCTTTCATAACTTCATCAAGGGTTGTTTTAGCATGTGGGTTGGGAAAAAAAATCAGGTGAGGGTCTTTGGCTGGGAGGTGCCACAGGTAAAGAGAGACAGTATGAAATAAACAGAGCAGGCACCTGCCTCATACCCACACCGAGCCCCTCTAGCTCTGGGAAACTGGGTGCCCCCTCCATGTCCCCCCTACCCTCCGAGGTACCGGACACCCACTCCAAGCCCTTCTACCCCCGGGCACCAGGCACCGTCCCAAGTCCTTTTACTCTGGGGGACACCGGCGCCCACCCTGAGCTCCTCCAGCTTCGGGAACACAGGGAACTCACCCTGCGCCCTGTCACCCCGGGGTACCACCAGCACATCAGGAGCTTGTCGTATCCCCAAGGGCACCAGATGCTCATCCCAAGCCCCTCTTACCCAAGGGGCACCAGATGCTCATCCCAAGCCCCTCTTACCCAAGGGCACCAGATGCTCATCCCAAGCCCCTCTTACCCAAGGAACTCAAGGGCACCAGATGCTCATCCCAAGCCCCTCTTACCCAAGGAACCCAAGGGCACCAGATGCTCATCCCAAGCCCCTCTTACCCAAGGAACCCAAGGGCACCAGATGCTCATCCCAAGCCCCTCTTACCCAAGGAACCAAGGGCAGCAGATGCTCATCCCAAGCCCGGGGCCACCCGGCGCCCATCACCGCCACGCCGCGGGACACGGCGGGCCCCGCTCCCCGCCTGACAACCGCCTGGCCCGTGGCCGGGCCCCTCTCACCGCCACAGGGCCGGCCGGGGTCGGGGTCGGGGTCGGGGCCGGGTCCCTCTCACCGCCCCGGGGCCGGACCTGCGGCCGGGGCCGGGCCCCTCTCACCTCCCTGGGGCCGGGCCTGCAGCCAGAGCCGGGCCCCTCTCACCGCCCCGGGGCCGAACCTGCGGCCGGGCCCTCTCACCGCCCCGGGGCCGGACCTGCGGTCGGGGCCGGGGCCCTCTCACCGCCCCGGGGCCGGACCTGCGGCCGTGGCCGGGCCCCTCTCACCGCCCCGGGGCGGGGACTGCGCCGCGGGCGGGCGGGGCAGCGGCAGCGGCAGCGCGGCGCGTCCCGGGCCGGCGCTGCGCGGGGCCGCGGCCGCCGCTCCCCGCCGGGCGCGCCTGGAAGGCTCCGGAGCCGCGGCCGCATTATGGTCAGCCATGGCGTGGCTGCCGGGCGGGCTGGCCGAGCTGCGCTGGGGCGCGCTGGTCGCCCTGTTCGTGGCGGCGCTGGCCACGCTGGCCGTGTACCTGGTGCAGTACGCGCTGCTGGCGCTGCGGAGGGGCCGCCCGCCGCCGGCTCCCGCTGCCCCGGAGCGGCGGGACGAGCTGCTGGAGGAGGGCGGCTCGGTGCTGGCCTGGGCGCTGTCGCGGGGCAGCTGGAGGCGGCAGTGGCGGCGGGCCTGGGTGGCGGCGCTCCGAGCCGAGGCGGCGGAGCGGGCGGTGAGTGCCGGTGATGGATGGGCGGCGGGACGGAGACGGGGAAGGCACCGGGGATGCGGCTCCGGGCGCTCCCCGCTGCCGGGGACTTGCTGCCGGATGTGTTCCTGACCCTCCGTGTGTGTGTGTTTGTATTTTTACACATTTACACGTGTGCGTTCGGTGGCTGCTTGGCGGGGATAGCAGGAGGGAGCCGGCCGGAGGCGTGTGAGCAGGAAAGGATGCGGAGGAAGGAAAGCCCCGACCCCCGCAGCCCCTGGCAGGGGTTCGCTCCGCCGATAACATTGTTCGGGCGTGGGGAGGAGGAAACAATGGAAACTTCCTGGCCTCGGCCTGCGGCCCGTCCTTCGGCAAATAATTCCCAGAGCTGGGCTTCCCCCGGCGTGCCTCAGGCCCTGCTGTGTGTGGTGTAACTCCAGCGCTGGTGGCCTCCGAGCCCGCTGGATGCTGGATGGGATGCTCATGGTTCACTCGGTTTGCCTGTAAGCCGGGTCAGGGAGGATGCACAAAACGTGGTGGTTCTTATCATCCCAACCTGCCCTTCCTGGAAAAGGCGCGGTGTGGAATCCTTCGGGTTGGAGTGTAATGGTGTGCCCGCTGAGGTGAGGCTGTGGCAAGCTGATTTCCTTGTCCTGAGGACTTAACCCGTGTCGTGTCAGTGCAAAATGCTGAGGATAAACTCTAGGAAGTGGCATGTCCCCAGGTCCCTGAATTTGCGTGCGCCTCAGACCTCAGAGGTTCTTTTTTACATGTCACGGAGCAGGCTGGGGAAGAAGGAAGAGTGGGGCAACATGTGCGTGTGAAAGATAAGGAGTAAAAAATAACACTTCCCAAGTGTCATTGTAAGTTGGGCAGTAGAAAGAAAACATTTTGTGCACCCTTTCAAACTGTGCGGTGCGGTTAAGAGTGGGCTGTGCTAAGAAATGAAGGTTGGTTTGGAACGTGGAAGAGAAGGGTCCAGACAGCTTGAGCACAGGTGCTGGGAACTGAAGGTAACCAGACACAAGTGACAGCTTCCCGTCCCTGAGCAGAGGGCAAAGCCCCTTGGACAGGGACACGCACACCCTCCCTGCCCAGGTGAGCTCCAGCCGGGAGTTCAGCGCCTGGCACTGCAGCGTGGCGTTGCTCCCGCTGTCAGCCTCCCAAAACAATGACAGCAGCACGAAGCTAATGAAATTCCTGCGTGCAAAACAACCTCGGGTGATGAGGGAAGCGGGGCTGAGTGCACCATGTGGGTAGCAGGTGAAGAATGCAGTGCTGATGCTTCTGAAAGTATGACCTCAGTGCCCAAGGGCTGCCTTGCCTTGCTGTCTGTGTGAAGACTGAGTGGCTGTCATCACTGTCTGCCTTCACTGATGAGGAGGGCTGGGCAGGGGAAGGCTTCTTTCCTCACCTCTGCAAGATGATATTTGGGGTTTCTTAGTTTTGGCATAGCCTACTGCAGCCGTATTAGTGGGCCAAACCGAACACGCCTTTTCACACTGCAGCACTGATAAATCTTTGCTGAAGAACAGCAGTTTTGCTGGACCCTGTTGTTCATGGACTTGGCTCTGCATTGTGTACCTTGATATTCTACTACAGGGAGAGATGAGTTATGATTAGGCCCATAGTTATGTCCTAAGTATATGTTTTCAGGCTCTACCCTGTATTATGTAGTGAGGTGTCATGCAATTAATACATGGAAGTTTTGACATGCATTTGCAATTCCAGGAACTTGACTGGTAGTGCATTTTTATCACTTGTTTTCAAATGATAGGTTCATCACCTAACAATGCTTCTTTTTTTTCTCGTTAGGATTCCCAGTTGCTCACATTTGAGGAAGATGACCCAGCAGAACCACTTGAGCTAGTAGTTAAAGAAGTTACCAGTGTTGTAAAGTCAGCTGGAGAGAAGGTAAACTTTGGATTTGTTGCCTTTCTGTGTACTTTGGGTCAGGAAATGTTTTATTAGTATTAGCGGAAGATTTATTTGTCAGTAGATCTGTACTCTTGACCTGTGTTTGTCGAGGCAGGTAGGACGCTGCCTCTCTAAAGAACCTGTGCAAACTCTCTGCATTGATTCACTTCTTTAGCATGTTGTGAGCAGAACGTGCTCCAGGGCTTCCACCAAAGGCACAATAACCAGGGCTATGCCAAGTTTGATAGCTACGCCCTCAGTGAGCTCACGGAGCAGCCCTCTCCTCCACCTCCACAGTCCTGATGATGTTTCCCCATCCTGTTGCTGAAGTGTGCAGTGGGAACTTCATTGAGAAGAAGGAAATTTCTCTCCTGGGACTGGCAAACATCTTTGTCTGCCTCTGATGACAGGTTTGCTTCCTAAGTGGGAGCTGAGTAAGGATCAGCTAAAGGAACAGGTGCAGAGTCCTGAGGGTGAAGTCTTGTATTCAGTGAGGAGCAAGTGATTTCTTTCCTCCTCCCACTGGGAGGTGGTTCAGTGCCTGTGAAATTAAAATAAGGCAGAACGTGGCTCTTGGAACAGTAAAAATGCTTTAAAAAGGGGAAAAAAATCTATATATGTTTATTAGCAATGATAGCTCCTGCATTTTTGCCCTAGTGACTGTAAGTACTGGTTGCATTAGGCACCTGCATCAAATTAGCCTGATGCTGTTCTTTTAGTTTTGCTTTGTTATTTTGCTTTGCTTGTCTGATTTAGATGCTAAGCAGCTCCACTATGATTCCTTTGAAAACTATGCATGCTTATCTGCCTGATACACAACTTAGAGGCACACCCTGACTGGTGGCAGCTGGGGATTGTTAACACGTAAAGCTGTTTGTGTACTTACGTTCTCCCTTTTTAAAAAAATTTATTTCAGTACCCGTGGGGCTGGAGAGACTGGACTTGGTAGGGTTGTAAGGTTGGCACAAATGTTCCTCTGTGCCACTGGAAGATGCCACGATGGGGAATTGTAAGGAGAGGGCACTGCTAGGTCTGAAAGTGATGTGCTGTGTCATGTGTGAAGCCAGGACCCCGGGGAGAGCTGCTGCAAATAACAGCACAAAGAAATGGTGTCTTGCAGTGCAGTGTCTAAAATGTTGCTGGGAGGGACAGGCAGGGCTGGGTTGAGCCATTCCAGCATCTTGATCGAGCTGTAACACTGCAGACAGAAGTCTAATGTGGTTTCAAGACAGCTTAGTCCAATAGAAGCACATTTTAAAATTTATTGGGATAAAACAGGTTTGTTTTCATACACTGGATTCTTCTGAACTCTGCCAAAACCCATTTCAATGCTCTTGTTTACAGCTGCTGGGAAAAGTTCTCTGAATCATTCTTACTCCTTCACTTAAGGTATAACCTGAATATTTATTTGAGTTACAGGGTATAATAACCTTAGAGTGGCAGTCTGGTAGCTACTTTTCCTTCTTTAAATGCATACCTTTCTCTGAACACCTCAGGAATTCTCTTATATGATAATTGTGTCTTATATTTCCTGAGGTAATACCAAGGGTGGTTTATTTTGTTTGGTTTTTTTTTGTTGTTTGTTTGTTTTGGGGTTTTTTTTTTGTGTTTTCTTTTTTCCCCACCCTCTTCAAGCTCTCAATGTTTGCACGTGAACTGGAAATCTCTCCCTGCAGCTTGCCCAAACTCCAAGTTCTGACAGAAGTTGGTGAGTGCTGCACGGTGCAGTGCTGCAGACGTGGTTGGAATGCTGCTGCTTCTCAGCTTGGCCCAAGCTGTGGTGGTAGGAACAGAGCTGCTCTGTGGCTGGAGGTTACACCACACTGCCCCTTGATAAAGCCTCTCTTTATGTGTTGCCTTCACTCCAATTTCGGGCCAAAGCCTAAATATATAGAATGAAAGTGTCCTGTTTTCATTGTGTGGTATTGGTTGTTTTGTTTTAATAAAGTAAATGTTAGAAATATTCTTAGTCTTGGCTTTTTCTGCCAGCCTTTCCATTAGTGCAGTCTGTTTCCAGAGGACTTGAACTTCACAACAGAAACAGCAACAAAAAAGGCAATGGAAAAGAGGATTCTCTTGCTGAGGACTTGGCACAGAGGGTTTGGATGGAGCAGGCTGTGATAGAAGTCTCCCTTATTTTTCTGTTTCATGCTTAAATGGAAAAGGGTAAAATTCCTTCAGAGTGCCATTCCTTTAATGTCACTGCTGCACTCCTAACTGGAACCATTCCTGGTGTTTATTTCTGATTATTTTTGGTGGAGTGAACTACCCTGACCATGATGTACAGTTTTGTTGTCTTTTAACTCCCCATTTTGCTTCAAAAGCCACCCCAGATCTTTGCTGCTTTAATGACTAGGGATTTTTTACAAGCCTAGGTGGAATTATAGCCCATGGAGTTTTTTTCCTTGGTTTTTTTTTGTTTGTGCACTAATATAATCCCTTCTTCTTAGTGTGTTTACTCTTCTTTCATGGTGCTTGCTGTCAGTAAATGTATTATGAAGGGATTATATTTCCTTCCAGCTTTTGTTCGGCTTGCCTGCATAAGTTGCTCCTTAAATCTCCTTTTACAATGCTGTCCTGGCTCCTGAGTCTCTCCTATGCCCCCATTCTCAGCAGGAGCTCCAATTAAATCCATGTTTTTGAACTTGATGGCTGAAGGGCCACACAGCCCTACAGGTAAGGTCTCACAGTGCAAGGAGGCAGCTTCTTTTTGGCTCTGGAAGTAGTTTCCTGAGGGATTTTGTGCTCCAGTCTGCCTCTTCTGTGGCTGCTTCATGCTGTGAGTGCCTTGTTGCATCAAGGTTCTGTCCCTGTGGTGCTGTCCTGAAAATAAACTGTTCTTTGTGTGAGCAGGAGTTAATTCTTACACACACACACACACTACGTATTTTGTATTGCATTCCTCTCCTGTGTTTCAAGGTCTTTCAGCTTTCCTGTGTGATGACCTAATCTTCCTTTATGTTGCTGTTTCCTAGTTTGCTTTCCTGAGCATCACATTTTCTTTCAGGTTTCTCCTGAGGTATTTTGGACTTTAACTGTGCAGTGGGTTTGGGGCTCAAAGAATCTTTGGTAACCTGTTTCCAGCTTTCACCTCCCTGCTCATTGTACTGACCTCTCCCTTTCAAACATCCCAGCCCACCTTAATGGGGGAGTGATGGAGCAAAAGCTTAATTATTAGTGGGGTGAGCCTGCAGAAGTAAACAGGACAACATTAACATCTGACCTTCTTCAGAACTGAGTGCCTGGGCAGGGGAGGGCATCGGGGTGGGGTTGGTTTGCTTCCCTGAAGGTGATCCTGGGCTTGGCTCTGTCTGTCTTCCAGCTGCTGCTGCAGATGTGTGTGGGCCACCTAAAGGCTTGTGCCACATCTGTCAGCTTGGCACAGGGATCAGGGAAGCCTTAGCACCCCGACACAGAGGAGCTGTTGTGGGAATCCAGGGCTTCCCTCTGGCTGTCCTGGCAGGTCTGGGACCCTGGCAGGGGTCAGGAACCCCCCTGGACAGAGCCCCCAGAGACATTGTCTGTGATCTCTGTCCATGGAAAAGAGTTTTCAATCTCACAGGATGAATTACAAGCTCTGAGTGTTTGATATAAGTAATAATTAAGTGTGGCACGGGTGCAAAAGTAAAATTTTAGGTTTCCAGATTAGGGGTCCAAAGGGGACAAGATGGAGGAAATTTGGTGTGCTTTGTCCTTTTTCTCCTTCTTCATGCCCTCCATGTTTCACTGTGGTGTTGGAATTTTTCTATTGGTTTAGGCTGGGAACACACTGTTCAACGTAGGTGACAGATATTGGCACGTTATTGTAAATCCAGCACAGGTAGTTTGTGGTATTTAATGTTTGTACCATCCCACTGAGGGCAGAGCCCCACACGCTGCCCTGCAGGACAGAGCTGCGGCAGGGCAGCAGAACATGTTAGAGATAAACAGAATAAACAACCTTGAAACCAGCACAGACGAATTATGGCTTCTTCTTTGGCAGCGGGGCAGAAAGACAGAGACTTTCTACAATCTCAGAATCATCAATACCACATATTCTGACAAGCTGTGTCTGCAGGTGAATTACTGTCCAAGCTGCCACAGCACAAACTGGCAAACCTTTCCTGGAGTTTTCTGTCTCCTCTTGGTCTCTGTGTCTTCATCTTTCAGATGGTTTGGAAAGACTTGCATGATAGTGGGACCAAACTAGCAATTCTACTTCTGGTATTGATTTATGTTCTCCTTTCTGAACTATAAGTACTGCTTTGCTCTCTTTGCTCTTCATTTGCACTTACTAGGTGGATTGAAAATTCTTCCTGTCCTGTCACCCTGTACTCCCTGCTTGTTTATTTCATTCCCTCACTCCCCATTTTTTCCACCTATTTGAATTTGAATGTGTTGGTCTCAAAGGAGTGGATAAATTCACATGTTCCATCAACTTCTGCTTTGTTTCTGTTGCTGACATGGAAACTCTCTCTCCTGCGCTGAGTCCATCCCTCACCCTGCCTTCACCGTGGTGTTTTACCACCATTTGGAAGACTGGTCTGGGGTTTTCACTGTATTTACAGGCAAATTCAGTTTGATACTGGCTCCTAAAAATCCACACCTGCCTGTGCCTGGGTTAGACATTGCATTTTCTCATCATCTCCCCTTTATTTGTCCTGGTCACTTGGTCAGTTGTTTGGGTAAAGAAGGAGTGGAGAAAAAGCTGGAGAAACCCCAGAAGAAATTAAGGAATTGGCTCTGATAACCAAGAAGATCATGTAATTCTTCTGAACAGCTGAGTGCTAATGACTGTCAAAAGGCAGAAGTTTTTGACTTGAAAAATTTTCTTGTGGTGAGGTTTTCAGCCAAGCACACAAGCTGTCTGTGTGGCCATTGACAAGATAAGTTTTCCATGCCAAAAATAAGAGACTCCTCATAGTAGAACCCTGTGAGACAGATGGGAAAATGTAATGGTCCTAAATCTCACAGTGAGATCTCACAGTGAGATTTCACTGTGTGGCTGCCTCATGGTTAATTCTGATTCTCTAGTGAAAATGTTAGATATTTGTATTGCTTACATACTACTGATTCTGTGCATACTACTGAGTAACCTCAAGTAACCTGCTCTTTCTGGAAGTAAACACCAAGTGCAGTAAAATGAATTTCCTTCTAGAAAACAAACAAAAGAGGCAATCAAGGCTCATACTGCTGGGGGTTTTACAAACATATGTGGTGTGGTCAGGGCCTGGGGAAGGTGAGGGAAATGTTCCCCATCAGGGCTGTCAGAACTTCCCCCTGAAGTCACAGCCAGGGAGGAACCTGCTGCTGCACTTGGGAAGAGTAAAGAAAAGGGAAATTGTAATGCACAAATTAATGGGGTGCCAGTGCCAAAACTGAAACCTCAAGGCAAGAAGGCACCATGTGTGAGGAGCAGGGGCACCATGGTGCTTCTTGAGATGAAGCAGCTTCTGCTGCTACTTCAGGAAGGAAAAAACAGATTTTGAAACCTGTCCAGAAGAGCTGCAAAGGGAAAAGTCTGGATATAGAGGGGGAGGGCAAAGTGGGGGAAGGGTTTTAATAGCTGTGAGTGCACAAGTTTGGACACTTGACTTTCTCAGAACAATAGTCTTGCTCAACCCACAGTGCTTTTTCAGTCTCCTTTCTTTGTTTCTGTGGTTGCTTATCTGGAAGAGAATTGCTTTTAGGATAATTGTACTCAGAGTTTTAGGTATGTGTGAGCAGGCTGTGTCTCAGCATCTGCAGCTCAGTGGAGCTGAGTGCCAGCATTTTCCATATGGGGAACCGAACCCAGCCAGGTCTGGGAGTTTTGGCCACTGCAGCTCATCCCATCATGAGGATGGCAGGGCAGGGATGAGGAGGAGAGGCTGGAAACAGCAGGAATAACCCTGGCAGTGGGTGATTAAGTACCAGCTGTGTGTGGGGAGGGATAGCAGAGGGCTGAGGAGGAGCAGGGACACAAAGGTACCTGAGGAAGGGCTGGAAACTCCTTCCATGGGAGAACCCAGAGCACACGGAGAGAAAGGTGTTTGTGCCAAGGGAGGTGCTGGAGGGAGAAAATACCTTGATATTGGTTCCTTTGTGCTGCTACTTCACCTCACCCTATTTCTGCTGATTTAGGAGATGTGTCTTGCCCAGAGGTAGGATCACAAGGAGGGGAGGGGTGACCCCTCTGGGAGCTCAGAATCTGCTGCTCCCAGGGCTGTGCAGGGCTTGGTTTTTAAGGAACAGTCTGTTATAAACCTGACAGGTTTTCTAGACTCTAAAACACAAAGAGTTGATAACTGGGGATGTCTCTGGTGAGGGGAGTGGGAGAGAGAACGAGGAATATAAATGAAAATTGAAGGAGAACTCTCATCCTGTCAGTCCAGGTTCCTCTGTTTTCTTGTGGACACCTAGTTTTTCTCCCAGTGCCAGCCAGAAAGGGCTGCTGTGCCTGGCCCTCCCTTCTCCAGCTCTTCATCTGTGCAGAGAAAATGAATTTGAGGCAGCAGGTTGGACCAAGGCAGGGAAAAAGGAGCAGAGCACAGGGAGGCTTCAGTGTTTTTCTTTGTGTTCCTGCCGTGGGGGAAGTGGCCTACATATTTCTGCTTGGGTCTATCAAAATCACCTGCTACACTTCTAAAGGAATGTCACTCAGCAAGGGAAGCAGCAGTTGCAGTCTCTTTAATCACCTTTTCACCACTTGTGGCAGCATCGGAGATGAAAACTAAGTCTCTTTCTCTTCAAATTCTAGCCCAGATTTCTGCTTCTCTCAGTATTCTCACTCCATCATCCATCCTCCTCCCAGAACAAAGGGATTCACCTGACATAAATACATATCATTTTCCATTTACAAACATGGAACCAATCCTTTTGATGATTGGATTAAAAATTGACAGGTGGCTGTCCACAATTTTTTTAGTGAAAGTGAGGGCAGAAAGGGAGTAGGGCTTAGTAGATGTCATTGGCAGAAAATAAATTAGTCAAGGAGACTTAAAAGTCCAAACTTTACTGGTCTGGGCTTTGAAATGAATGGTAAAAATACACATAAAAAATTGATTTAGCATCTTGTGACAAAATACAGAAAGAAAAATGAAAGTTCCGCCACCTGCAGTGTCTGTTTCCATCCTTTACTTGGAATTAAACACTATTATGAAATAAGTGGCACAGGAACTCAGTTGCCAGCTCTCTGGCCACACTTTTATTTCTTTTAAAAACATTAATCAACCATATGCCTGGCAACCTTGGCTCTTGGACATCCAGAAATTCCAGATGAATGGCTCTGCATTGCATGTACAGCAAGTCCAACTTGTTCTGAATGCACTGAGCTTCCTATGGATGTGTGGAAAAAACATGTATGGATGACAAAACACTGCATTTAGGATATGGAAGTGGCAGCAGTTTTTGCATCAGACCTGTCATTTTTTTCTCCTCTTTCCTCAAAAAAGAGGGAAGAACCTTTTCCTTTTCAAAGTATTTTAAACAGAGTCACCATGTCAATCCATTACTTTGAATGAAAGGAGTGATTCTGTTTTATCTCAGCTACGAGTAAAACAAGCAGCTGGAAGCAGCTGGGCTCTTTGTTCTCGTTAGCTATTAAAAATCCTTTCTATTTTACCATAATACTGGGTGTTGGTGTTGTTTGTGTGGGATTAAGGTCAGAAATCACTTCTGAAGGAATCTGGACTTTGGGAAAGGGGAGAGGTGAGTGGACTCATTTGTCCACTTCTAAACTATAATTTGCAAAGATATAACCTGAAAAGGCAAATCTTATTGCTTGTGGGTGTGGTTGGGATTTTTATTTGTCATATCCACCTCTCCACCCCCTGCTCCTTTGTAATTAAATCTCTACCTTAATGGATGCACTCAGGCCCTTGATAAAGCTCTGGCCATCCTTAAAATGTACCCCAGAGAGCCCAGGGAGATGAAATGTATTTAAGGAGAGACTGATAGGGATCTTCCAGGAGTTAGGTGATTCCTCTCAAAGCTTTCAGCTTCCATTCCAGTGCCCATAAGTGGAGCAGTAAGTGCACAAACACAGTTTAATAGCACCACGCAGAGTTTTTGTCAGACAAACCTTGCAGGGAATTATTTGTCTGTGCATTGCATTGACCTGGTTCCCTCTGCCTGAGTCAGTGTGAGGAGGGCCCAGCTGTCCTTCCCACAGTGGGGACAGGAACCACAGAGGGACAGGGACAAGCAGCTCTCCTCCACCACCACATCTGTGTGCAAAACAAACATGCCTCTGTGGCGTGATGAATAATTTCTGACTTCCACCCCATGGGCTTTCCTGTGCTGCCAGGAGCCCTCCAGGAATTTCTGCACACTCCAGGAATTTTGCATGGCAGCTCCAGCAGCTCAGTCTGCAGAGGGGAGGGAGCAAAAACTGCCCACTGTTTACAAGCTCAGTGTGACAATAAATTGAATTACTGCTCCTGAAAGTGTAGTGCAGTCAAGTGGCACTCAGACTTTTCCCAGACATTTAGCTTTGTCATCACATTTCAGGCTTTCTTGGTTTGGTCAAAGGTTTGAATAAATTCTTAAAGGCTCCTGCTCCTTCTTACCCACTGAGAGCTGGAATTACTCAGAATCCTCTGCTGTAGCAGGAGGTTTATACCAAAGCTTCATGTTTGTAGGGTACCACTGAATTAAAGATTGTGTGGTAAATCTGCTGTCCTGTTGTAGGCTACTTAGCTCAGAGCAGGAGAGGGAGAAGAACAAACATCTTTGCCCTCTTGGAGCTTTAATACATAGATGTATGAAATGGAAAGGAGGCTTGGTCAGGCAAGGAGTTACTTCTGAATTAGGTAATATTCTGAATTAGGTAATAATACCAAAGAAAATTTGGGAAATGCCATAATTTGCAGGTATTAGATTTCATGTACAGATTTGAACACTTGAACTATGTGCTTTTAGAAGAATGTGCAGAAGGAGATGGGAACATGAATGAAACTACTTAAAAATTTCCTACCTGTGCAACTTAGCATAATTCTGCTAGACTAAATTCCTTTCTTAATTTCTTTCTAGCCTTCACCAGACCTTTTGAAGACTAATTTCTTTTTCCCTTCATTTCCTCTCATCCTTTTCCTTTCTCCAGGTGGTTTCTTGCAATGTTGTGGGAGATTCTGTGCAATTCCTCGTGGCTGCTGAGGCTCAGTCCTATTTTGTGAAGCTGTCCCCAGTCCACCTGCAGGTAAAGTCTTAAGTGTTGCTCTCTCTTTTCTTCCTTTTGTTTCCCCTCTGGCGCAAGTGATAAATACAGAAATTAAGCTGCCTCTTCAGGAGACTGGGGATAAATAACATGTTGGGTAGACTGCTTGGATATCTAGAACAATTCCCTTTTTTAAGTGGCATGGACTCTCAAAGCTTAATCAACTGCTGCCTCCTTTGAGTGTCACTTTGAAGCTACCTACTCAGAAACTGGTGTCATTCTTCCTGTGCTGAGCCTTAACGTGGAGATTGACCTACAATTTCCTTGCAGGACACCACAACACTCTGCAATAACTCTTTTCCTGTCCACAGCTTCAGCTCTATGTGAAAGACAAAGGAGATGATGTCAAAGTTGAGTGGTTCCTCATTAACACCGATGAAATCAACTTTGAAATCCAGCCAGCAGTGCAGGAGGTCAGTCAGTAAGTTTTATTTGTTGTAATAGTAGAGCAGATGGGTCTCCATCCCCTTGGTCCAAAATGTGGTGTAAAGTATCTCCCATGGATCATCTATCAAACCCCTACACCTCTGAAATCCAGCAACACCTCTCAAGATCACTGAAACAAGTCTGTATTTGACAGACAAATCACTTTGCAAACATCTTTCATCCAAATTCAAGGTGTGAAAAATGTCTGTTGCTAAATATCTTCTCTCTGAACACTTTTAAAATAATTTAAAAAACCCCAGTTGTAGTGGTGTTTTCCAGCAAGGCAGTTAAAACATTGCTTGTTCCCTAATTTAAATCAGTTTTGAAATATGGCAGCAATAGATCAGGAATGGCTGTGAAAAATACATTTATTTAAGGAAATTATGGATGATCTAAAAATATTTTGATGTTTTTGGAATTCCACACGAGCACTGGTTCATTGGGCCATCCCATGCAAGAGTTTCATCTTGACTGGGATTCTCTTCTGTGTTTGACCCTTCACAGTTTTTTATTTTTGTCACAAATGTGGTGGTTTAACTGTTTCCTACAAATGTAGGGGAAGATTTGTTTGTGTTTTTTGAAGTTATTTCCTTGACTGAAGGCCTTGTTAAAAAATAATTTTATTGTAGAGCTGCTTCTAAAGACCTGTACTGAGAGGTACAGGTCATACTGTCACATACAGGTCATACTACAGTCATAGTAATTTATTACCACAGCTTTTGTCTGTAAAAATGTGAAACTCATAAGTAAAGACAGACAAGCCTTTTGAAGTGTGTTTTAATGTAGGTTTTACCATGCACACGTAGCATGGAAATGATGTTCATATGCTGGAGTGGGATGTTGATTGTCCACATTTGAACAGTCATTAACTATTAAATCCTTCCTGACAAACACAGATGACTCTGGTGCAGTCACTGGACTTCCCAATCAGCTTTTTGCTGGGTGCCCAAGTCCAGCTTTGCAGAGTTGCACCTGTTCTGCTTTGCCTGCATTTTTAGAATGAGTTAAGTTCTTTATTCCTTAGAGGGCTTTATTTTCACTTTGAAGTTTGTGTTAGCCCTTATGGAAGAGGAGAGGCAATAAACAAAGGGCTACAACCTGTGAGCAAGCTACACTTGAGAAATTGCAGCTCCTAAACTTCAGTGTCAGCTTTTGTGTCTTGTTTTCTTCCTCTTTCAGCAGCAATACTGTGTGTACAAACAAATACCTCTAATTACTTGTGATTATCTGCACAGTGGTTTTGACATCACACAAGCTGGGTGTAATAACCCATTTTCTCTTGGTAATGGCTGGGTGAACCTGAGCTGTGTTGGGCAACCTGGCTGACTGGTAGGGTTTGGATTTACACAGTTTACATCATGTGCTGGTGTGCCCCAGGCTGGCTGTGGTGGACACCCCTAGCCCAAGTCAAACCCAAAGTGAAACCTGCTGTCTTTATCATTTGGAGGTGGCAGTGAAGACATTATGGTTTGTCTTGTTGAGGGAGTTGTGCTGGAGAGTTACTCTGCAAAAAAAGGATGGCTAAAAATGAGGCAGAGCTGACAGGAGGCTCTTTAATCAGTCTCCCTTCCAAATAACTATGGAAACAACAAATACCTATGAACAGAAGTCCAGTGGCTGAGGTTGCTGTTGTTACTGTTAAATAACAGATGTCACATTAGGCTGATGGCAAAGCACGTGAGGCAACTGGGATTTTACAATTTAGGTAAGAGCAGGGCAGGGAAATTACCTCCAAAACAATGAAGACTAACCATAATTTATCTGCTTATTTAAGTAACTTAAGTAATGAAATTGCTGTTACTGAGGTTTTAAAAAGCCTAATTTACTGTGATCTTTATTAAAGTGAATGAGTATTATCTGTCTCCTTGGTGGCTGTTTGAGGCAGCAGATTTTTGTGGGACTGGCCAGTGCTGTTGTGTGTTTTGAATATGTCATCAAAGGCCAGTTAGGTAAGAAGGCAGTACAACAGGAATTCTGTACACAGCATTCCTGGGATTTTTTGGTGAAACACCCTAAATGTTTCTGTAACACCAGGGTAGCTGGGAAAGGGCTGTTAATCCCGATCTCTGGGACATGTCCTGCAAGGTGCCCATCGGTGAAGTCTCTCAGTGTGGTATCAGATAAGAAAAGATGGATGGGTCCTCTGTTTTTAGGTCAGATCTTTGTCTCCTACTTCAGTCTTTCCTTTAGAAAAGAAACCTCACTGGGATTTCAGAGCTGTTTGGTTTCAGCCTGGCCTTTCTGGGACAGCTTGATTTAAAAATCTGTGCCCTGTAGGCACCGGAGCAGATAGAAATTCCTGAGGAGCGTGCTGTGAAAAGCAGGCATTCTCCAGGAGCACAGGGAGGGCAGGGGCTGTTCAGCCTCTTCATACACCTTAGAATTAATCATGTGAAGCTACCTGTGTGTACACAAAATCTGTGCTGTGTTCTGACCCCTCAGAGGTTGTGGTACTGAACACAGATGGGCCATGAGATTTTTTTATGGGCAAACTACAACTCTGTCCATACACTGCACTTTTCAGCAAGGTTGAAGACCTCCGGGAGATGCTGTAATATCTTTTTTCAGTGCAGCACAGGATTAGTTTCTTCTCAGCTGCTGCAAGCTGGCATAACTCCCATTAAATCAGTGGAATGGTGCAGATCTGCTTATCTGATGACCTGATCTGCTCTCTCAGGAGAGTACAGAGCAGTGCAGAATCTTTAAAACACCATCATAAAATAAAAACTGTTAAAGAAACTTGTGTTTTTGTAACTAACAGCTGTGCCTTCCTAACTCTCAGAACACCATGAGTTTTTCAGTGTTTAATTCTAGCTTTCCTTTAATGCATAATGAAGAAATTTAAGTAATTCTTTGCATGATCTGTTGTTGGCAAAAGAAACTATGTGTCTCTCTCTGACAAAGATAATGTTAGATGGATTTGGTGGTATAGATATATACCAAAATGATTTTTGCCTCAACTTCTTCTGAGTTTTGAGAAGCCTGGTTGTTTGTTTCCTCATAGGGACAGGCAGCAGGGACATGTGCAATATCTGAAACGCTCAGAGATGTCTTGAAGAACCTCTTCAGCTCAGCTTCTCCATCTGTAGAGTTGAGTGTGAGGCCTGCAGATACAAAGGAGGTTCAGGTAAGGCTCATTCCTTCCAAAATCTTTTGAGAAGTGTCCTTCTGATTAGTGCTTTTATTCCCTATTCATGGCTCACAGCTGAGTGAGTTTAACAGTGTTCAAGTGACAAGAACCACCTGGGACACATGTTTAGAGCAGCACAGCCCATGGCAGGGGAGGCTGTGTGGTCACACCTCCCCTGTGGCTCCAAAAGATATGCCAATTAAAGGCATACCTTTAATTGGTCATCTAGAGCAGGTTTAGAACAAATGAAAAGAAATAGCCACTTTTAGGCTTTGTTTTGTCTTACCGTCATATTCAGGCCTAATTGAACACCCTTTTTTCCTTGTTTTGACCACTCTCTCAGTTAGAAAATATTCTCAGCTATGTGTTTATTTTATACATGTCTGAAGTCATCTCTGGTGGCTCCGTGTTGCTGTTCCAGCCCAGCTCACCTCTGCTTCCCTGTGCCAGCACGGCACAAGGGTTTGGTGCTGGCACGTGCAAAGTGCCCCTTGTCCTGGTTGCCTTTTGCAGAATGTACAGAACACGAGCCTCCTCCCTCAGGGCACGAGTCCTCCCAAGCCTCCCAGGGCTCACGACCTGAAGCTGCTGGTGAGGAACATCGCGGTGGAGCCAGGAGATCTCCGTGCTGCAGGTACCCAGCCCAGGGTCAGGGGTGGCTCCGTGTGGTGGAAAAATCCCTCCTCCAACCTGTGCTTCCAAAGAAAGGCTCAGCAGTCTCTGCTGTCCAGTCTCAAGGCAGTTTATTGCAAGTTATCTAAAAGATTTTCTCCTTGGGCTGCTGTGGTTTGCTCAGAGCTCAGGCAGAGGCACACACACACCCTGACATCCTCTCTGACTCCCGACTGCTTCTTCTCTCCCTGCCCAGGGCTGCTGCTGTCTTTTATATGGTACATTACGTGTTACATGGTTACAGTTTTTCCCCAATGCCTATTACCTATATTAAATGGTGCTTTTCTATCTTTTATATGGTACATTACGTGTTACATGGGTACAGTTTTTCCCCAATGCCTATTACCTATATTAAATGGTGCATTTCTACTCTAAACCAAACTGTGAGTGCCAACATCACCCAGAACAGGGAGGTAAGGAAGAAGAAAGAGGGAGGACAGGGCAGGCCCAAATCCCTCCATCTTAAAACCTCTGACCCCCATGTACAAAACCAAAACCCCCCTGTACAGCACTCAAAAATTCTTCCCTTTACTTTGTGACTACTTCTACTATAACATCTAAACTTTTGTGACTTCTTTTCCTTCCTGCAAGGTAATTTAGGTAAGAGCAGGGCAGGGAAATTACCTCCAAAACAATGAAGACTAACCATAATTTAGCTGCTTATTTAAGTAACTTAAGTAATGAAATTGCTGTTACTGAGGTTTTAAAAGCCTAATTTACTGTGTTTTTTATTAAAGTGAATGAGTATTATCTGTTTCCTTGGTGGCTGTTTGAGGCAGCAGATTTTTGTGGGACTGGCCAGTGCTGTTGTGTGTTTTGAATATGTCATCAAAGGCCAGTTAGGTAAGAAGGCAGTACAACAGGAATTCTGTACACAGCATTCCTGGTAAATCATTCCATTGCTCAAACCCAAAATCACAGCTGTTTCCAGCTGCCTGCCAGGGTCTCAAATGCTTCTGACCTGGGCCCGGAACATCCAAAAATGTCTGAGGGACATTTTGAGTTCTGACACCGCTCCAGGCAGGCCTGGGCTTGGGTTTTTTTATTTCCTTTCAGGTGAGGTGATGGTGGAAGTTCTGCGTTACAGCCTGCTCTCAAAAGAAGGTTTAAGAAGTTGCTGTATTCTGAGAAAGAGAATTCATAGACTCACAGGATGGTTTGGGCTGGAAGGGACATTAAAGCTCATCTCATTCCACCCCCTGCCATGGGCAGCGACACCTTCCCCTGTCCCAGGCTGCTCAAAGCCCCATCCAGCCTCACCTTGAGCATTCCCAAGGATGGGGCAGCCACAGCTGCTCTGGGCAACCTCTTACCACTGCTGACTAAATGTATATTTTAGATTTTTTGAGCATTTAAACATCTTGTTCTTCCTGTACAGAAATCCATCATTGCTGAAAACAAATTGAAATGACCACACGTATAAAGCTGGCTGATTATTTTCTGGCTTCTAGTTTTAATTTCTAAAAGTTCTCACTTTAGCTGTACCCGAGATGAGGGGCTCAAATCCAACTCTCCATTAGCTGCTGGCAATGACATTGGCTTGATTCAATGTTACCTTATTTTTCTTAACTTTAGAGTCATTTGCAGATGTATCTCAAACTCTCCTCCTGTATTAGAAACTCCTGAAAGATTTTTTGTTGTTGTTGTCAGGGTCATTTTCCCCTAATGAAGTGCCTTTGCAGGTAAAGCAGGTGCAGAAAGAAGGTGCCTCTTGCAAGTGGAGAATGAAGCCAAAAAAGAGGTCACTGCCTAGTGAATTTAGTGTTGGGTTTGGAAAGCAGCACCAGGCCTGTCTTGCAAGTGCTCAGACTTCTCCAAGTGCAGATTAAGGCACAGCTCAGATTCACTCAGCAGAAATACAGATTGGAGGCTGTTTATGGCCACTAAACAATTTTGTAACAATATTTTTAATGGAAGCTTGTGGCTGCTAAATTGGGCAAGACAGTAATTTTAGATAAATATATCCTACTTGCTGTTCTCGTTTTTTTTTTCAGTTAGAGGTAATAGTTTTCTGCCCCAGAGTCTTGCATAATGTTGCTTTGCTCATCCTGGTTGGAAGTGATCCCCCTAAAAATCTCTGCAGAGCTTTTTTGAAAAAAAAAACAAAAAACCAAAAAAAATCAAATTATTTTAAAAGCAATTCTGGAACTCTTGGCTGTGAAATGTCCTTTGTCAATAAAATATGCTGGCAACTGCAACCCAGTTGAGTGGAAAGTGTCCCAGCCCATGGCAGGGGGTTTGGAATGAAATGATCTTTAGGATCCCTTCCAACCCAAACCATTCTATGATTTATTACTACTCTGCAATTTTGTAGTGCAGACTAAACTTTCCAAAAGATTGGGTCATTTTGCCTTGCTTTAAAAGTCATGAGATGAGATGAGATATCTTTGTGTGCATACAGTGCATAGAACAGAAGATTCACCTTCTGAAAATCACTGCACCTTCCCAAAAAACGAGAGGAAAAAGAGACAATTTGTGTGCTCTGATCTGGGAACACAGATGTTGGGAGGCAAAATCTCCATTTACCATTCTAACAGGAGATGGAGGGAATTTTGCAACTCCTGAAGTGTAAATATTTGGAACTGAGGATGAGAAATAAAACTTCATAATGGGGTTTAACTGGTGCACTTGAAATCCAGTGGGAATCCTGCACAGCTGGAAGGGTGCTGGCTTCTGGGCATAACCTGCTGACTTTTAATTAATATTCCCTTCGCTTTTCCTGGCCTTCCCTTGCAATAATGAATTATCCTGTTGGAATCCAGGCTCCATGGGACTGTCAATATTTCAGGGGGCTGGGGAGGGGCAGCTTGTCCATGCTGATGAAACCATGGCTGGTTGGTGGATGCTGACAGGGTTTGTAGTGTTGGAATTTGTGGGTATTGATGATTTTGATATTGTAGAAAGTTTTTGGGTTTTTTTGTTTTGTTGTTAAAGAAGAAGTTATAGTTTGTTTGTGTTGTTTTTAAGGTTGTTTATTTTTGTTTATTTATAATAAGTTTTGTTGTTTTGTTGTAGGTTTGTTTTGTAGGGTAGTGTGTGGGTTTTGTTTTTTAGTGGGATGGTATAAATATTATATATTAGAAATTATGTGTATTATATTTATAATAATGTGTTAATATTTATTATTTATGTTGAATAGTGTGTTTTTAGTTTAAATTAATAGAAAAATGTTAATATTATTAAGAATATGGAGGTAAGGAAGAAGAAGGAGGAAGAATAGGATTAGGCTTATTTTTTTTTATTTTAGAACTTTTGACTCTTTTGTATAAAGTAACACTCCCCTGTACAGGTATTAAAACTTTTTTGTATAATATTAAAAAATTTTACTCTCTAATTTGTGATTACTTTTATTATATTATCTAACTTTCTGTGACTGCTTGTTTTACTTTTAAAGTTGGTCATTTATTCTATGGTTTAAATTTAAGATTACAGCTGTTTTCAGCTGTTTGCTAGGGTCTAAAATGCTTTTGACTAAGGCTTGGAACTTTTGAAAATGTCTAAAAAACATTTTAAGTTCCAACATTGTAGGAGCTCTGGCTCTCCTGTAGATATCTTAGTTCAGCAGAACTGGTCCCTGATTATGGGCTGTGCCTGTTTTTATCTCCTTGGTTTGTGCATGTAAACAAAGGTCACCCCAGATTTTGTACTGCGTGCTCTACAGGGAATCACTTAGGGCAGAAGTGATTCCTGCTGCTAAGGAAAAAACAGTTAATTGTTTAAAGCAGGGTGTCCAGGGCAGAAAAGCTGCACTGCCCTGTTGGTTTGTGGCTCAGGTGTAGTTCCAGGCTGGGGACAGGGCAGCAGGAGAAGGCTCAGGGACACTTGGCTGGGGGAGCAGAATCCAGCCCAGCTCCATGAGCTCAGGCTCAGCCCCTGTGAAAGCAGCTCAGCTGCCTCCTCTGGGGTCAGCTTGGATCCCAAATAAGCTGTGTGCACACAGTGCTTGTCTCCTCTAATCACCTTACCAGGCCCAGGCTGCCTCTGTGCCTGAGATTGGGCTGATCCAGAGCCCAGAGCATCCCCAGAGAGCAGCTGAGAGCTGCTCGTGGCAAATAATAGCAAATACAAACCCAGATCCTTCTGGAGAACTGGGGGCAGCATCTTTTGTTTGCTTCACACACAGTCAGTACTGAGCTTTTGTTGCTTTCCATGATGTGTTGGAAGTCTGGGTTTAAATTAATTCTGATGCTGTGAAAGCCATATTAAAGAAACTCTTAAAACAGGAACACATCAGGCAAACTATTTCCCCTTGGAGCAGCAGTTGAACTAATCTTAATATGCCAATTTGCAACAATATCAAATTCCAAGATCAAGGCTGAGATAAGTCTGCAGCAGTGCTTTAAAACTTGTTAAAAACCACAGTGCACAAACCACTGTGAATTAGCACTGTTGTCATCAGTCACTTGCCAGCAGAAAAAGCTTATTTTCATGTTCAGATAAACCACTGTGACTGTGGCTGGAGGAACTTAGAAAACTTCTGGTGCCTTTTAAAGCAGCTTGTAAACAACTTTACTCCCTCCGTGCCTCACACCCACAACATCACCTGCTCACTCTTTGTCTCCCCATCTTTTTGGATCCTTTTATGCCTGCATTTTGTTGCTTCATGGCAGGATTTAAATTGGGCTGTCATGTTTCACAGTGTGTGGGGTAGTTCTTAAGACAGCAGTGATGCAATAGTGACCTTTGCCATGAATGTCCTCGGTGTACAAACCAGGGGAAGGCATTTATTCTGTGGGAGGGTGAGAAAGAGTCAGTAAAAGTCTGTTCAGAAGTGCAGTGTGCAAGGAAAGGAGTTTCTTTGCAGTGAGTGGCCTCTTGGTGACAGAGCATGAATAACTGGCTACTGATTTTTCTTGCCCTTACAGGCAGCACAGACCTTGTGTGTATAGTTCAGTTGAATGACCCTATGCAGAAGTTTTCCAGCTCTGTAGCCAAAAATGCTGCACATCCCTTTTGGAAGGAAGAGTTTATCTTGTAAGTAACTTACCTACTGAGAATACTTTTACACTAAAGCACCTTTTTTTTTTTTTTTCTTTTTTTCCTTGAACTGTGTAAGAGAAGAATGGCATTTGAAATAGGTCCATCCCTGGCCTTTCTCTGGGTGGCCTCAGAGAAATCTGGAGCTGGTGGGGACTTCAGGAGATCCAATTACCTGAAGATATGAGATACAGGATATGCATGGATATGAGATACAAGTCTCCACATGTTCCATGATACATGATTCTAGTACATGGCAGCAGTCACAGGCATAATAAATCATCTCATGCTTTCCTACAGTGCCAGAAAAGAAGTGTTAACAAGGTTTTGAAGTCACTTTACTGTGAAATCTGCATTTGAGGGACTCTAATGTCTCTCCATTCCCTCCCCTGAGTGGAAAAACAAAGGTGCAGAAACAATTGAGCATCTAAAAGAATGGTGGCCATGACTAAAAAGGGGACTGTAAAACTTAACTAGATTTTCTTTCTCCTGTAGAACAAAAAAGGGACTTTCAGGCAGCCTACACAGTATTCTGTGATTCACACAGCTGCTGTAAATAAGGTCAAAAGTGAGCAGTTCTAAAATTATTTTTATTTTCACTTTCTAACAGCAGAGCAAAAATGGCTCCTGAGGTGCACGAGTTTAGGAAAGGGGGGACTCAGTGATGAAGTTTGTTTTCTGAAATATCACCAAGTGCTTCAGCCAGTAGCTGTGATTCAGTTCAGCCATCTGTTGGTGGAACAGCACCAGGCTTGCAGAGCACACAAGTTCCCAGCAGTTTGGGACAGGAAATTTGTAAAAATAATACCCTTTGCCAACTGAAAGGGCTGAGAGAGGGCAGGCAGGATGTGATTAAATTGACTGGAATTTGGCCTTGACACTAGGAATAATGCTGGGGTTTCCACACTGCTTTTCAGAAGTGCATGAGGTAAGCTTGGGGGCTTTTACAGATAAATGATGAGGATTTTGGCAGGGGTTTCTGAACTTCTTTCAAGTTCCCACACACAAACCTCTGCACTTTTCTTTCTTCAGAGCCAAAAATATCCTCCACTCTGAACACCACTGTACTGACCATGTCAGACTCTGCTTTAGGTTCATGGCAAAGCAGCAGCAGTGCCATCAAGGTGCTCCTTTCCAAGTTTTGGGGTGCAGGAAGGGTGGGAATGTCAGGGAAAAATTTAAAATCTGCTGCATAGATGATGTGCCACGGCATCTAATGGTGTTGGGGTGTCTGCAGCCAGGATCACAGCATCCTGAAAAATAAAATGCATGTTTGCATGCCCTTAGGGTTTTTGGCAGAATGCCTGCTGAGAAGGGTATAAAATAAAGTTTTACTGGAGGGTTCCTCAGCAGGTACCCAGTTTCACTGTGTCAGTCAGAAGGAAGGTTTTGTATCTGTTGTCTGGTCCATCTTAGGAAGTGCCATATGTAATTCTGAAACCTGGGTTTTGGCACACAAAAACTCCTCCTGTTGGCTTGCAGCATCCTTGAGTCTTGTTTTGGAGAAGTGATACTGACTCCTCTCATTTAAGGCTGTAACTACTTTTGTTTTCTTGCATCTGTCCTGTTTTTGCAGGACGCTTTTCCTGCTGTGACAGGGATGTTGACTGAGCCTGTTCCAGCATCTTGACTTACAAATTTGATCCTGCCAGGAGGAACAAAGCTTTTTGGTGTTGTGGTGTAGCAGTCAGACTTGGAACCATCTTCAGCGTGGAGGGCAGTGTTTGTCAGCTCCTGGGGAGAAGAAAAGATTCTGAAATTCAACAAATTGAACCTGTGCAAAAGTGAGGGAGGGACCCAGGCCATGGCTTTTTGCTGTGATCCCTTTAGTCACTCTTACCCCCCTGGTGCAGTGCTTGGCTTGGAGAGGGCTGAGAAAAGCTGGGGAAAGGGGAAAACCTACATGGGAAGGAAAACCTGCTGTGGCTGCAAAGACCTAACGTGGTTTTGTCTCCTTCACAGTGAACTAAGTGCCAAATCAAAAGCATTGCAACTGCAAATAGTGGAAGATGGAAAGTTGGATAGTGAGTATTTTAAGATTTTAACATTTATTTTGTATTTATTTTTATTTTGTATCTTAATATTTATTTTACGTGATCAGTGTGTGAGCTTTGTTGAGTGTTGGCAGAAGTCCCTTTTTATTTCTGGATGGCCACAGAAACTGTGAGATCCATCAGTAGTCATGGGTGGAAGGAGAATATCCTGACCAGGTGCCTGAGTTGAAGTTACAGAGAATCTTTGAATTTCTTTCTAGATTGTCAACACACTGAGTCTTGCAGGTGCTGATATCCTGTATTTTTTCATCTTCTAAACATCTAACAGATCCACTATGAACCTTTCTGGTTTCAAGTTAAGCTTTTGAATTCTTTCTGTGGCTGAAGGGGAATCATGGGGGTTAATTGTAAATGCTTCCTTTTCAAGTCGCAGAGAGCTCCTAAAAATTCAGGTATGAAAATCACAATCAGGTATAAAATACTCAAATTCTGATTATGTTGGATTAAATACAAAACATGGGGGCTCAAACATTTTTGCAACACGATTCTGTTGTTTCAGAATTACTTTTAAAACCTAGATATACAAAATTGTGCAATATCTTGCTTATGATATATGATTATTGGAGGGATTGTAAAGTCAAAAGCTTTGAAAAATTTCTGATGTGGATGCTATTTTTAAAAAAACATGTATGTGGAGTCAGCAAACTTATGTTTTTCTTGGACAAAATGTAGTTTTGAGTGTACCTAAACATCTTTAGTCTTTCAAACAACACCAGGAATGTTCTACATCCCACCTTTCTGCCTGGTTTCCTGAAGAAAAAGGTCCCAGTGGATTTCACTGACAATTCTCTTCCTCCCCCTCTGCCCCTCCATACCTGCTGAGCTGTTTTTCTCCAAAAAACTTAAATAGAAGACTCAAAGTAGAATCATATTAATGAGCAGAGTGATGAGTTATGTGAAAATAGTGTAGATCTCTACTTGTATAATACAGGTATAGACAAGAGTTTGTTACACCTATTCAAATTGTAAGTATTTGAGAAAATCATTTAATACAAATTCTCAGTAGATGTTCTGTGGTAACCTGACCTCAAAATGCCAGTGAAGTGTAGAAGTTTATTGTTGTAAAACATTCTGCTTTGCATTGAAAACTAGGATGTCATCTCTGAAATCATGCTGTACCTTTGCTAGTAATTTGTTGTGGTCTATTGGAGTTGATAAAGTCAGGGGAGGAGCAAGAGAATTGCTGAAGTTTTACTAAAGTTCAAATTAAACACTGTTGTTGTGATGCACCAGTTAACCAAGACTCGACATTGTTCCCTGAAATAAAAGATGCAGAAACAGGTTATGGAGATTGTCCTAATAGTTGTCTCCTTTCTTCCCTAGACATTCTGCATATACAGGGAAAAATAATGGCCAGAAACAACAGTAAATAAGTAATATTTCATGGTTATATTCTTTACTGTTGCACAGTATTAGGCCAGGCTGAGTAATAATCATAAAATGGCAAAAAAAAGCTGTAAAATGCCACTTCTCTGCCCCGTGGTGTAGAATTTTTCTCCTCCCTTCCCATATTCTCTCCCTTACACATCCTGGCAGCTTACCTCTGGGCTGACCTTGCTGATTTTATTCTTGCAGGTGCTTCATTGGGGCAGGTGACAGTACCTCTGGACCTGTTCAGGAAGCAGCCCTGTGGCCAGCACAGCTTTGCACTGAGCAGTGTGACTGGGGAGAGCAGCTCGGAGCCAGACCCCGGGCTGGGATCCATCAGTGCAGAGGTACTGCTGGGCCTGGGCTGTGGGGTGGGTTTTTTACTTCAGGAGCTGTTGGAAGAGCTCATCTCACACTTGGGCTTGTGGTTGAGTCAGAGCAGCCTGTTCTGATTGCAGGGTCTTTGTGTCTTATGGGGATTTTTGAAGGAATTTTGAATTATTTCAAGACGGGAGTTGTTGTAGATGATGGGATTTATTTTTCTTCTGCGTAGGCAGGAAGGGTGAGTTCAACTCACATCTTTACTGCATGGTTCAGAAAGTCACAAGACCTCTAGTTACAAGACCTTTTAAGGATTTATTGACCAATAAAACACTGCCAATGAGGATATTCATGTTTTTGATCCAATCCTTAAGTATTTCATCTTATGGACTCATGCTGCAGTGTGGCTTTCTTAGCCAATCATGTTATGACACACAAACCTGCAGTGCTGCATTCTAAACTTCTTGTTTACCTTTGTAACTCCTTCTATTTTTTCTATATCATAAACTCTAAACTTTCCTCTATTTAGCTTAATGTGTCTCTGCTTTAAACTATAAATTCACATTCTCACTTCGAGCACCTAAGTTTAGAAGGTTTAATTCTAAACTTTGGCTTCCAGGCCTAAAGTTCTGAAACTTCCCTGCATTTCGGATTCCAACAGTGTCTTATTGAAAGAATTAACTTGAGTTTGGCTCAGCAAAAACCTTTAAGGAGTACCAGCTAGAAATAAATCCTCCTTGCCTGACTGTGCTTCTGAAGTGGTGCTTTCCTGTCTCCTCAGTTCTCTTTTATAGAACCCAGCGAGCTGAAGGCAAGGCAGGTCTCCTCTCCAGTGCTGGCCACCAAGATCGAAAAGGACCGCACGGTGATGCCCTGCGGGACTGTGGTCACCACTGTCACTGCTGTGAGAACCAAACCTCGTCTGGAAGGGAGATCCTCCCCCCTGGGCACAGGTCAGCACCTCCACATCTTCCTGAGTTCCTCAGGAGAAGCACTGGGATGTCAGGGCAGCACCATTCCACAGCTCTCAGATGTGTTGGAGTGGGGTTGTTGTTCGTATCCTCCAGAATCAGGATTTTAATTTTCACAAAAACTTGTTTCTTGCAAAAAGAACAGTTAATGTTTCTTTTAATATGCACTGTAAGTCTTCACCGTGGTGTGGTAACATAGAAAGGCTGGATTTTGGTGGATGGTTTTTCACATGGTAATATATCAGAGGTTTGCCGATAACAAACCATCCTGTGCCTTGTAATCCTGATCTGTATTATCATCTCTGATGGAGCTTGGTGTTATCTGGTGACAAAATACTTTTTCAGCATGTCCCCCAGCAGCAGATTTTCCTATTTTTCTTGGGAAAATTATAAAAGTAAAACCTGTGAACAGTCTTGGTATGAAGCATCACAAAGATCTGTGTTCTTTTAAGTTGTTAAAGCAAATATTTTATTTTTGTTAAAGCAAATCTTTTGTCTTTTATAACACATTTTTGTCTAATGTGTTACAGTAGAATGTTTAGAAACATTCATGTTTTAAACATTTAAAAATTTTTAAAAAAATTCTCACCCTTCACTGGCCTTTTAGGGTCAGGTTTACCACAGAACATGTGTTGAGAATTTCTGTTAAACAATTTTCTCAAAAACAATTTGAACAGCCATAATTGGTACAATAAATTCTTATTAATGCAATAAAAAATTTCTTGACCAGTTCTAATAACCAAAAAACTTGGTCCTCAGATTCTCCTGTGAAAACTCCAGTTAAAGTAAAGGTGACTGAAAAGGATTTCATTGCTGAAGCCCTCCATTCTCAGGGTGCTCCAGTCAGCAAAACTTTGTCATCTTCAGATACAGGTAATAAAAATGTTTGGGGCTGTTGAGAATATTTCTCTGTTCTGCACATGGGATTAGTGTGATCCTGTTAAAGTGACAGCCAACCCCTGTGGCTGCTGCCTGTCAGCAGCACTGGGGTGTTGATGTTACAAAGCACTGTGGTTTGGGGTATGGCAGCCTGGCGGTAAAAGTCTGGTTTTAATTGGCAATTTAAATTACTGGTTTTGAATAAATAACAATGAGCTGTGGTTTGCAGAGGAGAGGAGGCTGCAGAAAAGCCAAAAGTAAGTCTTTTCTCTTACTTTTGAATGAAAGATGCCTCCTTTTATAGAGGCTTGGGGGAGGCTGCACTAAATTAAGGCTGCTGTGACATGTACCTCTAAGTCCCCTGTGTCTGAAGAGAAAGCAGAGGCTGGACTGAAGACTCAGTTCTCTTTCCAGCCCTGCCACTGGGCTTTTTTGGCTTGCTTTGCCCATTTGTCCACCTTCCTAAGTCACCTGGATACAGCTGAAGTTCCTTCAGAGTGTCAAGTGACATTGCCAGTAATTATAAATTCACTTGGAATTGTATATAAATCTGATTTTGTCTCTGGAGAATTTACCTTTTCAAGCTGCACCTCTAAATCTTCAGCACATTTTTCAGTCCTGTGTGTGGTCACCACTGAACCTTCCAGTGGCTCTGTGGGCAGGAGTGGTGACAGATGTGACCCAGTGGCACCTGCTGTGAAATTCAGTTGGCTTTGTACAGGTCTGAGTGGGGAATGGACAACCTGGAGATGATCTGAGCTGCTCCTGGCACGGCCAGGAGGTTTCTGAGAGACAGAAATGTGTTGGCCAACAAATGTGGGGAAGGGCAAGAAGCAGTAACCATGAACAGCTGTAGCAGCACTTGGATCTTTTCCTATCTCTAGGGTAAGAAATACTCTGACACCATGAAGCAGTGTGGTATTACTGCATCAATTTGGGAAATGTTAAGATAGTGCAAGACTTCTCAGGTGACTCCCTGAAGTGTTTATGATATTAAAGACACAAACTACTGGAAAATTCACCTGGAGACACTATATTGTCATGGACAACGTTTTTATTGGGAGTGCAGGGGGATTCCTGTGAAGTGTTTATACAGTATTGCAGGAAGAATTACTCATTCAAACAAAAGCCAGAAGAAAGAAATACAAAGGAGCTTTTGGTATGGCAGTAACTTAGGTAAAAGTTATTACAAACATTATGGCAAAATAGCAGCAAGCACTCTGGGAAAGATGCTGTGTCTGTGCCATGGTTCTGAGTGATGACAGCAATAAGAATTAATGCAGGGGCTGGGGAGATGGAAAAAGTCAAGGTTTGAGATGAGTGTGCAGACATGCACACATATTCTTAATTCTAGGCTTCATCTCTTCTTACATTATCATCACAGTAACAAAAGGCACTGCTCAATTTATTCAACACTGGTGCTATTCCTGCCTCTGTTCTTTTTGTTGTTGTTAAAACTCTTGCCAGAAAAGTTCACCTCAGGCAATTAAACATGGGGATTTTTGTCTTGTTGATTTCCGTAGCCTTGTTTGTTCCTGAGCTTGATGAATTTGATTAATGTGTATTCATATCCTTGATGCCAGAAAGGGCCATGCTTAAAAATAAACTTGTGTTTGTCAGTAAAGAGCATTTTTTTACAGAAGATTTTATATTCCTGTGCAGTGGTTGGAGGGGAAAAGGGGGAGTGCATTTTACAGGATTTGGAGGCAGCTACTTTGCCTTCCCTACCCTATCACAATGCCATAGCAAAACTGGAAATGCTGATCAGGGAGATCTGGAAAAGCAGCAAAACAACAAAAAAACTACCTGAAGAAGTAACATCATGTACCAGCCTTGTACCATGTTAGAACTATGGTTCTTCATGACTGTGATAATTCATGATGTCCCCACTGTCACCACAGGATAGCAGAGCATTGAAATAATGGGGTGCTTTGTCCAGGCTTCCAGAACCTCCTTTGTTCTCATGGAAGGAGTTTGTAAAAGCCATTTTGGTACCTTTTCTCCAAAAATGGGTGACAGGAGGGAAAGACAGCTGGGTGGTGAATTGGTAAGTTAATGGTGTTTATGGCATTTCTGTGAATTTTAAGTCCAGGACAAACTCTGCCTGTCTCTGCTGTGTTTTTTCCTGTTTTCCTTCTCTCTGAAATGCTCCTTTCTCTGCAGAGCTGCTGGTACTGAATGGCACCGACCCTGTGGCAGAAGCAGCCATCCGGCAGCTGAGCCAGTCTGCAAAGCAGAAGCTGAAGTCTCCTCGCAAGAAAAGCACCATTATCATATCAGGGGTGTCCAAGGTAGAGCAGAAAACAGCACCCAGAGTTGATGCTTAGTCCTGGAAAGCCTTTTCTGCACTGACTGCAGCGTTAACAGGGCTCCTGGTGTCCCTGCAGAATCCAGTTTTGTGTGCCTGGTTTATTTCTGTGACTCTCTCAAGTTCAACCAAATCAGGGTGTTGGGTTCTGATGGTCAGATTGGACAGCCTGACTAAAATGCAAGGTGTCCTTGGATAGGAGTGGTGTTAGGGATTTGGGAAAATCAGTTTAGGTGAGAAGAGAGGATAATCCTTCTCTGTGTTTCACCCATACTGAAAAAGTATGAAAGTTTTTTTTCCAAAGCTGTTAAAACACTCTGAAAAATCTCTGGTGTCTGTTCCAGAGGGAGGGGAAACAATGAGACAAAATGAAATGTTTTAATGTTAATTTTCTTAAAAGGACCAAAAAATGTGTATGCTAACACTTCATTACAGCAGCACATATGGGGGAGTCCTGTTATTTGTAGTGGGGCCAGGGATAAGTAGAAGGCATTTACTTAATTGATTTTTTTCACTCATTTGGCCTTTGTATCATGATTAAAACTTTGCTAAGTGCTCCTCTCTTTTAGTAGAGCTAAGGAAGCTTCAGATGGCTTGCTGATGGTCCTGAGCAATACAAGTGTGAAGAGTTAAAATAACTCTTGCAGGGAGGTTTGTTTTTCTCCAGCAGGATGACTCGTGTCAGTGTTGTCTCTTTTTTCCACTGGGCAGACCTCTTTATCTCAGGACAGTGAAGCTTCACTGATGATGGACTATGCTGCAGCCATGGACAGCTCCTGCAGGGAAGCAGATCCACCCACTGTGGAGGAAGCTGTTGCAAAAATCACCTCTGATCAAAAGCAGTCACTGGATGCTTCAGAAAGAGTCCCTGGCACTGACCCACAGCAAGGCACCCACAAGGCCTGGGGTTTGGAGAATGGCAGCCAGCAGTGGGACACCAGCACACTCTTAGACCAGACCTCTGAAGAAATATCTGGGAGCTCATTAAGTGTTTCAGAAACTGGGAGCATGAAAAAATCTAAAGGTACACGATCCTCACTTCCACTTCAGTGACTGCTTTCTCTATGTAATTGGCTGCAGTAGTTCATCCTTTCTTATTGATTTTTTTTTTTTTTTAATCCTTTAAACTCTTTGTGATTGTGGTGTTGGTTGGAGCTCTTTTACTTGTAGCTCTCTGAGCCAGCTCAGGCTTTTTTACCCTCCCCTCCATGAGGGAACAGCTCACCCTCAGAAGCTGGCAGCTCGTTACACCCAACTGAGTTGTTTGGGAGAGAAATCACTAGTCATATTATCAATTCCTCAAGGAAAACTGTGTCCTCGTAGCCCAGGACTTGCCCTGGATTGCCAGCCCCATTACCAGGGTGAAGATGGCAGGGATCCACAGTTGCTTTCCAATACATTCCTCTTCCTCCTTCACCTCTCTGAGCACAAGGCTGCCCTGCCCTCACTGAAGTGTGAGTCCAGGGAAGCAGCAGAGCTGGAACAGAAACTGCCTGCTGAACAGATTCCCCCTGTTCACTCGTTTCATTAATGCATCATTTGCTAAAGAAAATGGAATAACAGGTCATTTTTATAAATATAACATCAGATTTATACTTATAAGATAAGTAAATAAGGCATAAGATCATTTCGCTTAGGTACTTACAAACCTGAATAGTTTGAAAATCTCTTTGTGTTTCCTTGGAAAATCCAGCAACCTCTGAGCGCTGGTTTGTGGTAAACACAGGGACTATTAGGAAGTCTTACAAAGGGGCCAGTGCAGTGGATTGTGCCCCTAACAGGCACACAGGTTGCACCTTAAAGTTGCAAAAAATACTCTGCTTTTCCCTCATACCCATCCCTCTCTGCTTTATTATTTTCTATCCTTTTCTCACCCAGAGATCCTGGGAAATGGCTTATGACAAAAACTCCCTCTTTTACTGGATTTTCACCCCCTCAGCCACAGGGCAGACACTGGAGCTCTTTGTCAGGACCCTCCCTTAGAGCTTGGAGCTCTCTGGCCTTCCCAGAGCGGGACTGCTCCACATGAGAGGTCAGGAGGGACCAGCAACAATCCCTGTCACACACATGCTCAGGCACTGGAAAGCCTTGGGTGTGTTTGGGGTGAGGGGAGTGGGGTAGTTATCAAGGGATTTTGGCTCATTTTGGAGCCTGGAAAAGTTTAGGAAACTGTGTGAGAAACTGCAAAACCTCTGGGCTCTTCTTCAATATGTTATTCTAAAGCAAGCAAGTGGAAGTTTGTGAGTTGTTGTCTAGTTTTGGGTTTCCCTGTGCAAAGAGATGAGGCTTCTAGAGATCCTTTTCACACAATTCAGTATAGGACTGCTAAAAATTGCAAAATATCTCTAAGAGAGTTGTATCATCTTGAAAAAATACTTGAAAAAAGCTGGCTCAAGTCCCTTTCAGTATACACAGATGTCTTTGTGGAAGTCTTGAATCTCTGCTTTGTCACAGCTGAGTAGCTTTTATGGGGTAAGATGGGAAAACATTTCAACCCCCCTGCCTTCAGTGAGCTGTGAATAGTTCAAGGCTTCTGTTTGTCAAATGCTTTCCCTTAAAAAAAACAAACAACAAAAAAAACCACCACAAATAAAACCGCAAATGCAACAGCAAAAAAACCCAAACATGGCAAAAAACCCAAACAAAACCCCTTCTGCTTTGAAAAGCCTTTTGTGTGTGTTAATGTCTTAAAGCTAGCACTTTTTTTTACTCTTACATATTTTTGTTTGTTTGTTTTTTTACCTTTCTGACTTCCTCTTTCTTACCCATTCCCTTTTATAAACTTAAGATGACTGCTATGCCAGCCAGAATTAATTACCTACACAGTAAGTTATTTTTGTCTCTTTTTTTTTTATCCCTAAGAAAATGTAGCTTTACAATGAGACACTCATTGTAAAAACTGAAGCAGAAATTAGTTTGACACCCCTTTTCTTCTTCCCCTATCCATTCCTTTTCTCCTTCCAAAATGACCTTCCTGTGCTCAGGTGTCTCAGCAGACCAGTCTGCTGTGACAAACCATCCTTCTGGTGGTTGTGCTGTCCAGGAGGGTCACACAGAGAGGGCAGCAAGGAAGGCTTGAGGGATGCTCTACTTCCTCATCTCCCTCCATCATTGCTGTAGCATCTGATAATCAATCAAAATCTGCTCATGCAATCCATGTGTGACCCCATAACTGGATATACATACACACAAATCTTATTTCAAAACCTGCTGCTTATTGATTTTTAGATGAAGTTTTTCTAGCTCACAGAGCTAACACAATCTCAGCAGGTATTTACAAAATCAGCAGCTTTTTACAAAACCACCTGTATGAAAACTGTTTTGGAAGTTGGAAGGAATGGAGAGCGATCTCTGTTGGTGTCCTTGTAGATGTGGAAGGAAATCTTCCTCCACTAGCACAAATGAGATTCAGAAGCATTTTCAGAACACCCTACATAGTGCAGCAAGTTCTTACAGTGCTCTCTGCTCACCTCCTGGTGCTGGGGGCAGGGCTGGCACATGCATCCTGTTGAACTGGAGCAAGAAGCATGCAAACAGCAAATGAGCCAGCACATCAACCAGCACTGCCCTGCCCTGCCCTGCCTCCTCCCAGGGCTGCATGTCTGCGCAGCAGCCAGAGCCACAGGCAGGCAGCACGCTCCAAGCTGGGCATGTGGCACGCTTCCAGGCAGCAGGGCTGAACACCAGGGAGCTCTTGTGCCAGGGGCTGCTGCTTGTGCTGCTCTCAGGGAAGTGCTGCCCACGGTTCTTCAGCTGCAGGGAGTTGTCCCAGGCCACCGGCACGGTTTTTGGAGCATTTTTAGCCAGGTGCTGTTTCCTGGTGTAGATAATCAGTCTGAATGACAGAATGGATGGGACTAAAAATCTGCTTAGGGATAAACTGTTGTGTCCTGGAGCTGCTGGTACGGGGTCTGGGCAGAGCAGCTGCCTGCTCAAACAGGAGCTGCACAGCAGCCAGGCCTCTGTGTCCCCCCAGCCTCTGCACATCAGCAGCTGTCAGCGTCCTGGGCTGGAACACTGCTGCTTTTGTGCTGCTGATGACAGCTTGAAGTGGTACTGCCTTGCCAGAAAGATCAGTCAGAGGCTGATTGGAGAGCAGTCAAGATTCAAATCCACAAGTTCTGGTTGCTTTCAGCTGATTTCTGCTTCCCATCCCATTGTGCCCTGTGAGGAGAGTCTCAGCAGCTGCCATAAAAAAACATACTTGAATATCCTCCCAGGTGCTGAGTGCTTAGCCCTTAATGTACACAGTAATAAACCCAATTACACGTTTGTGACTGCTTTGGTGTGCACAAAGCAGCATCTGGCTGCCATGAAATACCTGTTCTGCAGCTGTCACTGTGTGCAGAGTGACACAGAGGCCTTGGCAGGTCCTCGGGGGACAAACATTTAATTCTGGCTGTGGCAGTGTCCTGTGAAAGAACTGCACTTGCACTGTGTGTTGGCTTTTTGTGTCCATTTGCAGTGGGAGGAAAAGCAGAATCAAGATCATGCCGTGACAGGAATTAATAGTTGAACTTGGAAAATATCAGGAAACACGATAGTGGTGCAGGGAGGAGGTGTGGAAGCTTTGCCAGGGAGGTGACTATCCCCACATCCAAGTCTGAGTGCCAGAAGCTCCTGTGCTGGCTTGTCACCTGGGTCCTCCTCTGTTCAGACGGGCTCTTGCCACCTGGGACAACACCCTTCCAATGGCATACAAAACTGATGCTATTTTAGCACTGATGTCCCAGCCAGGCTGAGTGTTGCTGGTAGCCTGGAGCAGTGTCCCTGCCAGCTGCACACCAGGCACACATGGGGAGGGAGGGTGGAATTTGGCAGAATGGCTGCAGAAACAGCCCAAGCCTGCAGAGAGAGGAGTAGTGCTAGCTGCTGTTGGCAGCATGAGTCCCTGGTGAGATGACAGCTGCAATTGCCTTGGCTGCATGCTGGGTTTGACAGGGGGTCAAGGGAAGGAACATGGCAAAATAAAGCAACTTAATTTGCCTCAGGAGGGATTTGGGCAGACTTCTGAACCTGTTGGAAGCAGATGTAATACTATTTTTAATCTGCTTGAAGTGCATTGCTATTGCTAACAGGGTTTTAGAATAGCAAATGCTTTGTGGGTGTTACTCTGGGTGGTGCTGCTGAATTTGTATAGAACACCTGCCGCCTGGCTTGTACAGAACCACTGCACACACATTTACTGCTGGGTGCTGTTGTAGATTAAAAACACCTTAAATTAAAATTTGCTTCACGTGGTGCCTCACAGGCTGATCTTCACCTCCTTTGATCTCTGAAACAACGAAGAGTAACATTATTTCCTCTCTTTCATTCTGTTTATAAAATCCATTCTGCTTCACTGGTTGGAAAGATTGGATGTGGGAGCCCAGGGTACGACCCACACCAGTGGCTGTGCATGTGTGTATGACCACTAGCGTGGCCTCCAGAGCAGCATTTGGAGCTAAGTGTGAGGAGGGAGACTTAAATCAGAGGATCAGCTTTTCTCACTCGTGCTGTAGTTAAAGCAGAGGACAGCAGACTGTTCTGTCTAAAGTGTCCTGCACCTTTTTCCCCCACACAGGTGGGATTTTGAAGAAAAGCGCCAAGCTGTTTTTCCGCCGGCAGCACCACCAGAAGGACCCGGGCATGAGCCAGTCCCACAACGACCTGGTGTTCCTGCAGCAGCCTCTGTCCGAGGAGAGCCGCAAGAAGGGGGGGACACTCTCACGAATCCTCAGCAAGAAGCTCCTTTCCAGGAACAAGAGCAAGAACAAACTGAACGGGGCTTCGGGAGAGCCCTACCTATGAACCCAAACCCTCTGCGATGGGCACTTGTTTACAGAGCAGTACTAGAGAATACAAATGTGGCTGGTGACTTCATAAAAGGTGGTTCACTATTAACAGTGGTCTTTTTGGTTTATTTTTCCAAAATGCTTTTTCTCTCTGATGATGAAGTTGCTCCTCCACATACGAGCAGTGCTGAACGCATCTGGATTTTGGAGGAGTGTGTGGTTTCTTCTGGAAGAGGAGGGAGGATGAGGAATGGCACAGGTGGGGACCAAGAAGGCACCTGATGTCCTGGGGTGCACTGGGAAGAGCATTTCCAGCAGGTAATGCCCCTGTGCCCAGCCCTGGGGGCACCTCTGGGTGCTGTGCCCAGCTCTGGGGGCACCTCTGGGTGCTGTGCCCAGCCCTGGGGGCACCTCTAGGTGCTGTGTCCAGCCCTAGGGGCACCTCTGGGTGCTGTGCCCAGCTCTGGGGGCACCTCTGGGTGCTGTGTCCAGCCCTGGGGGCACCTCTGGGTGCTGTGCCCAGCCCTGGGGGCACCTCTAGGTGCTGTGTCCAGCTGTGGCTCCTCAGCACAGCAGGGCCAGGAGCTCCTGGAGCTGAGCAAGGGCCTGGAGCAGCTCCGGGCCCAGGAAAGGCTGAGGGAGCTGGGGCTGCTCAGCCTGGAGAGAGCCCCAGGGAGAGGGGCCTGAGCCCTGTGTGTCCCTGTGTGTCCCTGGCTGTCCCTGTGTGTCCCTGTGTGTCCCTGTGTGTCCCTGTGTGTCCCAGTCTGTCCCTGTGTGTCCCTGTGTGTCCCTGGGTGTCCCAGTCTGTCCCTGTGTGTCCCTGGGTGTCCCTGTGTGTCCCTGTGTGTCCCTGTGTGTCCCTGTGTGTCCCTGGCTGTCCCACTGTGTCCCAGTCTGTCCCTGTGTGTCCCTGTGTGTCCCTGGCTGTCCCTGTGTGTCCCTGTGTGTCCCTGTGTGTCCCTGTGTGTCCCAGTCTGTCCCTGTGTGTCCCTGTGTGTCCATGGCTGTCCCTGTGTGTCCCTGTGTATCCCTGTGTGTCTCTGGGTGTCCCTGTGTGTCCCAGTCTGTCCCTGTGTGTCCCAGTGTGTCCCTGTGTGTCCCTGGCTGTCCCTGTGTGCAGGAGGTCAGAGCAGCCCCAGGCTCTGCCCCAGGCCCAGCGATGGCCCCAGAGCCACGGGCAGGGGCTGAGCCCAGCAATTCCCTGCACAGGAGGCACAACTTCTGCCCTGGGCAGTGCCCAGCCCTGAGCAGAGCCCAGAGAGGCTCTGGGCTCTCCTCCCTGGCATATTCCAGAGCCATCTGGACACAGCCCTGTGCCCTGTGCTCTGGGATGGCCCTGCTGGAGCAGGGAGGTGGCACCAGTGACCCTCTGGGGTCCCTTCCAGCCTGACTGATCCTGTGGGGAGGACCCAAACCTGATTTCCATCAACAGAGAGCTCCGAACTGAAACCTCACACCCAGTTTATGTGACTGAACCTCTGCCGAGAGAGAAGACACCACTGTGCTCCCTCTCTACAGCCTGCAACAGTAGCAAATTATTTTTCTAGTCTGACTGAAAGGGGGGAATAAAGAGGCCCAGATGCAGTTTGTGCTGTAATTTGGAAGCGGGTGAGTGTTCAGAAGCAGAAGGAAAACGCTGACTCCAACACCCTACTGTAATATCTGTAGCCTGCTGTAATCACTGCTCAGCCCCTGGAGGTGGAGAGATGCCTTTGACATTAGCCATAAATCAATAAATTATGCAAATACCAATACTAGCATATTGTTTAATGTTCTGCTTAAGAAAAATCATGCTTTAAGACACAGAACTTGAGTGGATTTTTTTTTATTTACTTGAAGCTACACGCAAACAAAGTGTTTGTAAAATCTTACATGTAGCTTTTCTTCCATGTGTGAGAAGCTGTATTGCTGATGCAAAACTCATCCAAGAGGCTCTAATTCCTTCTCCCAAATGCTTGTTAAACAAGTACATAAACCATCCTATCAAATGCAGAGCTAGGAGCAGTAAATGGTGAGTAGAGCATAGTTAACCCTACAGTGCTTTTCATTGGAAAGCTTGTCTTGCCAAACACTTACTGAGATCTTAAAATACACAGTTGTGAAGAAAGCTTTTGAAAAAATATTAATTCCCTCAGTTCAGTTTCTAGATCTACCAGTATTGTCATGTGCTGAGTAGTTGGTCAGATGAGATTTGTTTAACCTTTTTTCCTTGCTAAATTTTGCAGCTGGCTCCTTTAGCCTAAAATGAAAAACTGATGGGAGTGAAGGCATAGTTCTCATTTTCACTATGAAGAAGAGTAAAATGTCAGTATTTCTCACAGGTACCATTTTTCATGCTTTACCTGTATTTTTCCATCATCTACATTCCTGCTGAGGACAAAGGACCAAGCCTATTCTCTTCAGCCAAGAAAAACATCCAATCATTCCAACTAAATTACTGACCTGAATGGATGATAGACCTTGTGCCTACTGTGCCAACAGTGATTTTTCCCCTGGCCCCTTTCCTCCCTTTAAGCTGTCCAACACTTTGGCAGGTATTTGGGCTTTCAACTTAAAGCTTTCATCAAAAATAGGAAGTTACTGAAGAATAGAAACACATTTCAAATTTCTGACATACTCAAGGTTGCCTGGTAAATCAATATCAAAGTGTAGAAGGGGTTTGGTTTCTTTTTTACGAAGAAAATATTAGAACTGAACGGTCAAAATCTTTAAACCACTTAAAAATACTGTTTATGTGTAACCTAAGATCACTGTGGTTGTTCAGTAGACCAGGCTATCAAACAGTTGTACATTTAAGCATGCTGCTTGTTATGAAAACACTTGAAGGCATTTTAATGTTCTGTACTTTGAAAATTGGGTACAAATGAAATCTTCTGGAGCTGTATTGTGCTTGGAAATCCCAGTTCAGTAACATAGGTTTGTCCAGCCTGAATGTGCCTGAACGTTTTTTTTTATTTCTAATTTAATACAAAGTAGAAATTTTGTTTCATCATTTGTTCTACAGTGGTTCAAGATGTGAGCATTAAAACCCCTGATGTCATGTTCCCTCAACAGACACTTTTTATTTTACCAGGAACTCTCTGTGTTAGGGGACAGGGTGGGCATCAAGTCCCTGCCATTTTTAAATGCTCAGTCTTTGTTGCTGAAGGATAAAACCACAACTGCTCCCTAAATTCAAGAAACCCAAATGAAACTGAGTTACATGGGTAGTACATCCATACCCTAAAAACAAAGAACTGTGGAGTTGGGAATGCAGAGGCAGCACATAACATTACTTGAAGTCTTCTAAAATTACTGAACTGGGATTTTAATTTACAGAAGCTTGAGCACATACTGTAGAATGGAGTGAAATAACACAGAGTAACTTGCAGGATACAGCACTGAGATTTGCTTGTAATTTACCCCAGAGAATGAATACACATGAAAAATCGCTTATTCTTAAGGTTTTGATGATCACTTGAATGCTTGTCTCAGTGGTGGGAATGAAGGACATTCATTACTACAAACTGTGTGAAGGTTTGGGCTCACATGTGTTAAGAGGGAATGAATTCTTCAGGTGAGGAGAGCAAGGCACTGGGTGTAAGAAGGGAATCTGGTTTTTTATTTGCCTTCACTCCTCAGGAAAATAAATATTGTTTGGTTTGATGTTGGATCTCTGTATCTGGCGGGTGTGTTCCTCACCTCTTCTTACTCCTCTGCCAATAATTTATGTTCTGCTGTAAAAACAAGCTAAGGCACTAAACACAAGGGGTCAACTGAGTGGTGAAAACCCCAAAGACCCACAAAAATGAATCCCATTCCCTCCTTAGGTTGACATTTAAGATCAGGAGATCTGAGGATGTACATTTCATGTGTATTTGGGTCAGTGTGAGCTGGATCCTCACAACCTGCAGGATCCACACTGCAGTTTTGGGTCAGAAAGACTGGGTTTGGCAACTGGCACAAATAACACCGTGATGTGTCCTGTGCAGTTTTTGTCTTACAAAACACCTTCTGTAATTTGATCCATTGTTCAAATGTCTAGTTATTAAAATTACGGAGAATTTTAATAACTACCCACTTGAACAGTAGAAAAAAATCTTTATTACATTGAACATTTGTTGTTTACTGCCTTGCAATTTAATGTTGTCAGAACAGTAGATTGGAAACAACCTGTGAAATAGTCATTCTTTTTGTCCGTTTTCTCACACTTCTGTGTTTCTGGATGTTCTGTACAGCAGAGAAAGCATGGTATTTCTTTCATGAGGACTAAGAGATGAAGGCTTGTATTTCCTTTCTAAAGAATTTTTCTGCCCATACCTGCAACTTCTTAATTTGTGTTTGTAGTTCGTTTTGCTTTATGGTGTTTAAATGGAGACAAGGCCTATCCTCACTGAGATTTGTCTTAGCTTTATTGTGAATTTTGACTGAGCAAATAGTACAAGAATTAAATTACTCTTTATAGATGAAAGCAATAAAACTACCTAATATCACCAAAGGGAATACAAGCTAAATAAGTTTCTGAAAAGTGACTGAGATCCTCTTCAAAGTCACTTTAAAGAGGGGAAGACTTTATGCCTAGGTCATTGGTATTTTATATCCCACTTGACCCAGGAAGAATTTAGAGTCATTTCACCCCTAGCAACATATGAAACTTGGGAATCCGAGGCAGAAGGAATGCCAGGGTAGAAAAAAGTTAATTTTGAAAACAAAATACCTTTGCCAAATTTCTTCAGCTTAATGGACAAGTCATACACTGTGCAGGCATAAATACTGGGTTTTATTCTTACCATTTCTGACAGATTTTCTTTTTCCCTGCTCTTTCTTTGGGAGACAGGTTGGGGCTCCAGGCCATACAGACCTTGCACTGTTTTGCTCTTGAGAGAACTGCATTTATAGTGCTGCTTTTTTGATGAAACTGGCTGGCAGTTGCACCAGTGTTGGGGAATCAGTGGAATTTTACAGCATTTCCTGGTACTGCATCTCCTTGCTGGTTCTAGGTGTTTTGCAAGTGAAAACTTTCTGCTGTGTATTTCTTGCAGAGTTGTGCTGTTCTTGATGTGCAAAACACCACAGGAAAAAACAAAGTTGAAAGCATAAAATGTTACCAAATGTGGATGGGGAAGCAAA